TGGCTGCGCTCTGACGGCGTCCTGGCCGGGCTCCGACGGCATCCTGGCGCGGCCCTGACGGCGCCCTGGCCGGGCTGACGACATCCCGGTGGTCCACAGTGGGTTGAGGCGGTTCAAGCCGCCGGCCAGTCGCAGGCCCAGGCCAGGGGCAGACCAGCAGGGGCAGGCCAGGGCCCAGGCTCGCGCAGGGGCAGGTCCAGCGGGACGCCACGGCGGCCACGGCTACTACGCCACTTACCCCGTGTACCCATGCGCGGTCGATTCTCCCCTCGCCCCCGCACCCCTCGCCCTTATTTGTCCCACACAGGCCAGGAGTCGAGGAAGGCGGCGCACCCGAAAAGCAGCCCCCTGCCCCCCTCCCCCCGCAACCTGCCGCACAGCTTGGCACCAGCGCTATCACTCGGACGAGCGCTGCCTGCCCCCTCACCCCACCCCCTACCGCAGCCCCCGCTAGCCACAAACCGTCAGTCCCGATCCGGCGTGCAGACAGAGTTCCCCCACGGTTGCCTCCCGCCCCCACCGCCCCCGCAGCGCGCCCACCCCGTGCAAAGCCTGCTTCCTCTGCGCCGCGCTGCGCCGCGCCGCGCCCACAACACGGCAAACATGTGCAGGGCAACTAAATCCTTATGGGCCGTTGTATGGCGGCGGCCCCCGACCGGCCGGCGCGCTGCAGCGGCCCGTGTCGCGGGGACCATTTTACGTTCCCAAATGGTTTACAGCCCGGCGGTAAAACTGTCCCCTGATTCGATGGCAATTTTGCCCCCGCTGGCGCGGCTGGCTTACCGCCTCCCGGCCGACATTGTTGTTGTGGATTCAAAGCTGGATTGTAACTGCGGGGGGGGGGGGGGGTGCATGCACAGCCACCTTCCCAGCAGCCCACGCGTCATCGCGCGCTGCGCTGGCGTGCCGCGCCGTGCCGTGCCCTGCCCACGGCGAGGAAGGCTGCTTCGACAGCGCCACCCCCGCTGCCCCCTCCCGCTGCGGGGCGGCCTGGCCCGGGCGGCGTGGACCCTCGCCGTGCCTACAGTGCTTCATCATTATCGGCGTAATTATGGCCTAACTCGGTGACAATCTCCTCTCATCGCCAGTGTCGCGTCTTGGAGCGGAAAAAGTTGGAAGCTGGCACCGGAATAAACGGGGTTGGCCGGACCGGACCGTTTCTATACAGTGTGGGGGTCCCTCCGAACCGGCCCCGCGTTTAATCCGTCTGTCCTTCTCGTCACGCCGCGCACGCACACACTCGCAGACGCTCACTCGCATGCGCACACACCGCGTCGTTTACACGCACATGTTGCGCCGAGGGTTCCGGCGGATGTTAATCTTTGCGGTCGATCGAGTGCGCACCGCAGGCAGGCAGGCAGGCAGGCAGCCCGAGCTGGCAGGCAGGCCGACAGCCGCCCTTTGAGCGCGTCGCACGCAGCCCGATCCAACTGATAGCGTCCAAGTTGGGCGCAGTAGTTGGCCGGGGCCAACAGTGGCGGCAGTGGCGCGCCCTTGCGGCAAACTGTTAAGAATTAATACGGCCACTTGGATGTAAACGGGCAGCGGGCACGGCCGGGGCACGGCCAGGGCGAGGCTGTCCCGGATGCAGCCCGACTGCCGGCCAGCCCGGACCCCGGACAACAAGATTACACGATCTTCAAGTCGGGCCCGCCCCGCCACAGCCCGCAGGCACTCTGTATCCACAATTTCTCATGAAACGGCATGCGCGATTTTCCTGTTGTTTTTTTTTTTCAGTCGTCGCTGTAGCAGGAGCATCCGGGGGAGGTGTCGGGGAGAATCCCGGAAGCGAACGTGCACGGTGAAAAATGCACGGGCGGCCCGTGGCGTAAGCGGAGCGAGCGGAGCGAGATGGAGAGGGGCCGCGTGGCGAACGCGCACGCAGCACGCGGCACGCAGCACGCTCAGACGGAAACGGCGAGAACGGATGGGGATATGAGACGCATGACTCGATCCACGCGCTCCTCCTCACCGCCCCGCCGAGCTGGCAGCCGCTGGCAGCGCAGCCTGGATTGAGTCGGTTTGGCCAAGCACCGCCAAGCAAAGCACCGCCGAGCGCAAACAACACGGCGAAACGACGCCCCCGTCGGGTCGGCTTGACGCGGCTCGGCGCGGCTTGACGCAGCGGTACAATTCAGGGAAAACGTCGTCACCGCGTGCCGCTGCTGCCGCTGCTGCTTTAATAAAATTATTTCGTCAAAAGTACGGCGGGGCGCGGAGCCAGCAGAGCCAGCACAGCCAGGCACAGCGGAAGGGGAGGGGAGGGGGATAGTCCTAGACTGGCCATGTGCTGCCTGGTGCTGCCTGGTGCGGCCTGGTGCCGCCTCTCCACCAACTCCCTGGCTCTCCCTCTGTGAGGTGCCTGTCAACTCTTTACAGCCCAACTCCACTCCGTCCACTGCTGCTTGTCTGCTGAGGGAAGCGCGCTCACACACACACACACACACACACAAAGCCCCCCACACACACACGTCGTGCAAACACGCACACGCGCGCGCGGCCGGGCAAAAACACACACACAGCCGCACACAAACACGAGCGCGCGTAGCCATTTTGGCAAAAATAAATAATTGCTGGTCCGTTTAACCGCGGCACTACGAGGCACTGGGAGGCACTGCGCGGTCCGCGCTGCACGTTTTATTGTGAAGCCGTTGGCGGAGTGGAAGACGGAGACGCGGGCAGGAAGGGGGGGGGGGACAGAGACAACAAACGAATGGCGTCAGGCTGGAAAACCACCGACCGCTTCGCTTCATCAACAAATTGGCCATTTTAATGACCGGTCGGTCCGGCACAAGGCAGGCCACCTCGCGGCGCCTCCCTGGCTTGGTTAGATTAGGTTAGGTTAGGCCTACAACGGTCCGGCCACCTCCTGGCGCCCCACTGCGCTGCTAAAACATTTCTCATATTCCCTCTGTGTGCCCGCTCGGCTCGGCTCGGCGCGGCTCGGCCGTGGCAACGAAAAGACAAACATCGCCCGGGATTACTTGGAAAGGCATACCTAACAGCGTTTTGTATTTTCTCCCGTTCGGGTGACTTAAAAAATTTCTTCCACCATCAAATGGATTGTTCTTTAAATGTTAAACCAGTTTAAATACCCCCCTCCCCTTTTTTCCCTTAGCCGTTGCCCGGGCATGGCGGCGTCGTTGTCACTATCTCCGTCACTGTCTGACACCGCATGCACTTTGTGACAAAATTATTCACACCATTCCTCGGTCCTACTGTAAAACAAAACTGCCACTGTTTTAAAAAAAACCTCTGTGGCTGTCTGTCACAGGCGAGGCCTGGCGAGGCCGTGGCGCTGGTTCCCCGACCACCGAAATGCGCGAATATAATCGGCGCGGCCCGGCCCGTGATTAAAGGGACGCGTTTGCCGCAATTATCCGCGATCCGTCGAACGGGGAAACGCAGGCCGCACTTCGGACCGCTTAGCCTTAATCCGCCGCAAGCAGAACCAACCCTTTGGGCAGGGCTCCATTTGACGTGGGCCGGGCGTGGCTGGCGTGGCAGCGCTCTGGCGCCGCGGGCCGCGCCATGGCCGGGCCGACTTCCTGGGGAGTCGCCGGAAGGCGGCTCTGTGTGGCTAAACTAACCAGACCTCGTCATCTGGAAAACTCTTGTGTCCCTCCATCGAGGCGAACGCTAAGTCCAGACGGCCAGCCCTGCCTGCCCGCCTTGTGCGGATCAAGGAAGGCCCACTCAAAGTTGCCGGAGAACAGCCAGGCCGGCTACGCGGACAAGGCGGAGGCGGCCCTGATTTGTCCCCAATCACAGAAACAGACCGCGCCCCGCGCCTACACTACAGACGCCCACGTCTGGAGGGCCTATTAGGGCAGTCATATGCCCACCGGCGGGTTCGAATACCGTTTTTTTTTCTTCGTCGCTGTGCTGCGCCGGGTCACCATGATGAGGTACGCAGAGTGACTGCCCCGCCTTGACGTCCCCAGTGGCGGTGGCAGCGTAGCGCCCGAAAAAACTGTAATTGATGAAGGACTCGGAGTGAGGGGGCAAAACCTCGCCAAGTCCGCGCTGGAGCCTGCCGCTGGAGCCTGCCGCTGGAGTCTGCCGCTGGAGCCTGCCGCTGGAGTCTGCCGCTGGAGCCTGCCGCTGGAGCCTGCCGCTGGAGCCTGCCGCTGGAGTCTGCCGCTGGAGCCTGCCGCTGGAGCCTGCCGCTGGAGCCTGCCGCTGGAGCCTGCCGCTGGAGCCTGCCGCTGGAGCCTGCCGCTGGAGCCTGCCGCTGGAGCCTGCCGCTGGAGCCTGCCGCTGGAGCCTGCCGCTGGAGCCTGCCGCTGGAGCCTGCCGCTGGAGCCTGCCGCTGGAGCCTGCCGCTGGAGCCTTCCGACTGCCGCTGAGCCCACGGCGGGCAGGGCGTGCCGGCGGCCTGAGGCCCTGGCTTGAGCCCGATAGGAAAAGAAAACTTTGGCCTGCAGAGCAGATTGGCCCCGGGCCGAGTCTGGAGGGTACCAGGCGTATCAGGGTATCAGCCTCTGGCAGGCTCGCGCGGCTCGCACGCCGCGGCCTGTCCTGCCTGCCTTCCGGCTGGGATTCGGCCCGGACAGTAAACTGCTTACTGAATGTGTCCGGGCGAGGCCGGCGGGCTGCAGGCTCCAGTTTCGGCCGCTGGGCCACTGGACCGGCCCCCCGGCGCGCCCAGTCACTGGGCCCCAGTGCCGACCTTCACCTGCTCCACATGCCACCGGCGGTACCCCTTCGCTGTGAGGTAGATGCAGCGCGGGGTAGCGTCGGCGGCGCATCGCGCCACTCCGGGCAGACGCCAAGCCAAGACGGCAGGCGCGAACTGCCAAAGCCACAACGCGCTGCGCCGTGATCGCCGGTCACTACAACCACACCATCAATCAGCACGGCAGCCGACGGCAAGCACAGCACGCCGTCAGCGCCGTCAGTCGACCGCCAGACCCACCGCCAATGCCGCGCTTTCTCCGGCATTGGGATATTGCTGCTCGGGTGATTTATACTCGAGTTTTTCTGGCGCGATGTCTTACCTTTGGCTGCGCGGTGCGCTTGGATCCGTGGGTGGCGGGGTGTTGGTGCACACGCCGGGCGGCGTCGCGGCGTCCCGGTCGCACTGTTTGTACACTGGCAACGTGACACTGGCTTGCGCTGTGGTGGCACTGACAGTCGCACTGATTGTCGCACTGATCCCTCTGCACTGACAGTGTTGCACTGCTTGCGCTGCTTGCACTGGGCGGCGCTGGCCCGCACTCGTGTCAACACTCACAACACACACTGTATCCAGACACCGGCCGGCCAAGTCGACGAGACGAGGCTTGCGCGGGGTTGCGCGGGCGTGCGTCTCGCGCGGCGCGGCGGGGGCGTTGTCGGGCGTCGAGGCGCCGGGGCGTCGTCGTGAACAGGGCCGGCGTCGCGAGGCGTCGCGAGGCGTCGCGGACACAAGGCAGAGCGAGCAGGACCAGCGCCCGAAGCCGAGCGCAGCTGGAAGCCAACTAACCTGGGTACGGCACCCTGCCACCCCCACTGGCGCCACCCGGCGCCACCCCCTCCCCCAGGCGAGGCGCCCCATCCCCAGGCCCGTCGCGGCCCCGCGCGGCCCGACGCGGCCCCGGGGGTGGACGGGACGGCAGGGCAGGGCAGGGCCGCGGCACGGAGGCTGCACGGCGGCGACGACGCCTTTCGAGATACGTATGCTTTTGGCGCTTTTGAAAAACCGCGCGGCAGAGGCGGCGCTCCCTCGAGCTGCGCGCCCACGCACACCACCAGAGCCCGCGGAGAACGGCGCACACCCACGACACAGGCACACAGCACTCCCGCACCAACACACTCACAGACGCACACACACACGCGCGTGTCGTTACGTGCACGGTTTAATTAATTCGCCACGGTGCGGCCCCCTAACCCAGATCAGGCCCATGGACAGGGTTTTCACGCCTTGCGATAGGCTCTGCACACACACAGGCACACGCAGACGCCCCCCCCCCCACACACACACATTCACACACACACACACATTGAGGTGCGGGCGGGGCGCCCCCTTCCCAGAGGACAATCGCATCGAGCTAAACTCTTTTTTAGCCCAGTTAATCCGAAAGCGGCGCTGGCCGCCGTTGGCGCGCGGGGGTCACAAATACACTTTTTGTCGAGATTGGCCAAAGTATTCGACGACCCCTTCCCCCCTCCCTCCCCCCCAGTCTCTCGGTCCCGCGGGGGGCGGAGGGGGGGGGGATGTCCCGTGATAAATTCGTTTCCATAAAGCTAATTTAGTGGGAGTTAACGAACCGTGCGCAGTCAATACGATATCGGAGATAGGCGCACGGGCCGGGAGGGCCTGATAGTGAGCCAGAGATATGAAGGAGCCACGCATGACTTCGATAAGTTCCGCCATAACCAAAAAGTTTAGGGCGGGAGCGGGGAGGGAGGGGGGGGGGAGTTTGTAAAAGTGGCTTGCGCGGTGCGCGCGCGAGTCAGGCGAGCCTAGCGGAAGGGGGAAAGAGCAACGGAGCGAGAGGCGAGGGGAGGGAGGGAGAGGGTGGCGGGGAGGGGGGTCGCGGGAAAGCCAGTTTCCGAACCAGCCGGGAAAAGTAAATGGAAACATCTCCAAAGTACAAGCCCCTCAAAATGCCCCTGGAATCCTCGGCTGCACGCAGAGCGCGCGGGGGCCGCTCAGGGCGCGCAGGGCGCAGGGGCTCTCCATAGCCGTGTGGAATTTGATCCCCAACAAAACGTTGCGAGGCGAGCGGGCGGTGAAAGCGCGGCGGCGCAGGGAGGGAGGGGAGGGGAAGGAGGGGGGGGAGGGCGCGCCGAACGGTGGTCAGGGCCCGCCGATTTCATTAGGCATCGGCCGAACCGGTCTGCAGCCTGACTCCGAAACGCTTCGTCGCTCTGCCTCCATCGCACCCCTTGAGTGCGAGAGAGACAGCGCGTCGAAAGCAGAGTCCGGAACCGGCTGGCCCGCAGGCCTGGGGGAGGGCGCAGTGGCACGCAGTGCAAAGCGGCCAGCAGCGGGTCTTGTGTACATCATTGCGCGCGAGCCTCGCGGAGCACGCCGGGCCTCTCCGGGCCTCGCCACGGCCGCGGCCGCGCAAAGTCGGGTTCGGCCAATTGAAGCGATTCCGGGCGCCACGGACTGCGGACTACGGCCTCCTGCTGCCGAGCGGCAATTTGCACAATGGGACCTCAGGAACAAAGCGTGGCACCGCGGCGCCCATACATCCCTCCATTCATTCTTCTGGTAAGCTCGAAGTTTGCTTGCCAACACGGCAAATGCGAAACACTAAGTCGGCGCTCGGTGGCGCGGTGGTTCCAGGCTGGAGGCTGCTGGAGGCTTCCAAGACTTATTGCCAGACCGGCCCGCCGGAGCGTCGCTGGGACCACGCCGACACCGCCACCACCCACCACCGCGCCGAAGCGGCCGAAGCCCGAAGCGTGGCAGCGTCCTCTCGGGGGAGCCTCGCTGCAGCAGCCAGCGAGCCAGCGAGCCAGCGAGCCAGGGCCGCCGCCGGACACGGCCTGAGGAGCATTGCTGCATCCTCGCCAGCCCCGCCAGCCCCGCTAGTCGGGCGGGTGGGTTTTCTCCCCGCCCGAGGCCCGAGGCCACAACTTGCTCCAGGCAAAGAAGGGCCCGGAATCGATTCTCAGGGAAGCCTTAGTTTGTGGCTTGGTGTTCTTATACTCCCCTGGGCATCGCTGCGTCCCGTCGGCCCCGTCCCGTGCGAGGCGAGGCGAGGCGTGTGGGCCCGCCCCGCCCTTTTTGCATGGAGAGGGCTCGCCTCGCCTCGCCTCGCCTTGCCTCGCCTTGCCGGGCCACGCCGGAGAACGGAACGCCCGGAACGCCCGGAACGCCCGCAGATCGACAACGCTGCAAACAGAAATCCGCGGCGCCAGCCATCGCTCGCCGAGCCGGATGGAAAAAGTGACACGCTCCTGGCCCGCCGGGACCCGCCCACGAAGTGCAGGTGTTTCTCGTCAGCGAGCTTCCGTAAATCGTAAGAGAGGAAGTGAAATTTTCCCTCAAATGTCACCGTTTACGTGATGACACCTGCCGACGGTGGGTCAGGGTCGAGTCACTTTTCCCATTTCTGGGCCGAGCGATGAACGCGTAGTCGCGGCGAGCGGACGCCGTGGAGGCAGGCAATCCTCGGAGTCGCAGCGCTGCGGCGCCGGGCGGGCGGCCTACCCGGGGCATCGCAGGCGCTTCAGGCGGGGGCGCCGAGCCGAGCCGAGCGCCGCCGAGCGGGCGGGAAAGTATCGGGATCGGGGCGCTGGGAATGGATTCGAAATTAATGCTGGGCCGGGCAGGCCGGGCAGGCCGGGCCGACAGTCATTGAAAAATGCGACAGCCATGGAGGGCCCGGCGCGGAGACGCGGAGCGACGGACAGGCGACGGTCTGAGCCGCGTCCCTTGCGTCGGCCGCGCACTGCCACCCCGCGAGACGCGGCCGACGGTGATAGATTATTTGCTGTCGATCATCGTAATTAGATACAAGTCGCGTACCAAGTAATCCCTCAAACTTGGGGGCAGCACGGCAGCGCTCGGGCAGCGGCGGTCCTTTCGTCTCACAGTCAGTCGCAGCGATTGGGGCGATTGGGGCATTACTCAAGCCAGATCATTGATTGCCGCCAGGAAGGTTTCGCGTCTGTCCGTCTCTCTCGCGCCGCGACGGGGCGCCGCATGACAGAGAGACTTTCCGCCGGCGTGCCGCACAGTGGGCCAGAAGACCGGTGGAGACGGCCAAAACTCCAGACGCGTTTTGAGCTCCAGAGTCGCTAAGTGGGACTCGAACCGAACGTGTGACCCCACCAATGGATTCCTCGTGCGGAGAGCAATCCATTGGTGGGGTCACACGTTCGGTTCGAGTCCCACTTAGCGACTCTGGAGCTCAAAACGCGTCTAGAGTTTTGGCCGCCTCCACCGGTCTTCTGGCCCACTGTGTGCCGGTCCAGGCCGTCAAGAGCCCCGCCGTCGCTGCCGCTCGACGGCGCCGAAGGCGCGCGCACATCCTGCAGTCCCTGTAGTCCTGCGGGAGGCGAGACAAACGCAGGCGGAAGCAGCTGCCGCTCTCGCTGCCAACGCTTCGCCAGCTTCGCCCGCTCCGCCCGCTTCGCGCACTTTCCATAATGCGGTTGAGGGGGGCTTTGCGCGGCGGCGTGGCGCGGCCTAATGGAATCAGATGTTATTACGTTTTAATAAAACACGCCGCGGTGGCGCACACAGTGTACCACACAGCGCACCACACAGTGTGCCACACAGTGTAGGCGGCGCGCTGACGTGCCATCCGCAGTGCATGGCCCGTCTGGAATAAGCGCTGCCTGCCCCCTTTTCGCGCCATGGAGCCGTCGCGTCGCGGGCCGGCCCGAGTTTGTTGTGTTCGAGCCAAGGAAAGTTGAACTGCCGAATCAGTGGGCGCGGCGGATGTGTGCGCGCGTGTGCGCGCGTGTGCGCGCGTGTGCGAGCGCGAGAGAGAAAGAGAGAGTGCGCGCGTGTGTGAGTGTGTTTCTGTGTTTGCGCTGTTTCGTCGGGGGAGGAGGTTATTGACGACTCTCGAGTCGCCTCGGTGACACTTCAGGATGAGGGAAACGAGTCGTTAAAGACGCGAAACGTCGGCGGGGCTGGATGGGGGGAGGGGGAGGAGTTATCCCCGCATGCCCCTATCACCCCCGGCCCGGAGTGGAGTGGGAGCATGCGGATGGGAAGAAGTACGGTAATATGTACGATGTCGGCCAGGGATGAGAGCGGGGGTGGGGGTGGCGGAGCGCATAGCCCTCTCTCTTTCTCTCTCGCGTGTGCCTCCGAGAGGACTATCGAGGGAGTGGGAAATAGAGCGTGGGAAAGGAAACGAAGGGGCGGCGCGGGCGGCGCGGGGGGAATCCCGCTAAAAGCGCGCGCCCCTGCAGCCTGGAACACTGGAGCGGCTGGAGCGGGGGGCTGGATGTTGATTCTGAGGCCGGCGGGGCGGGGCGGGGCGGGGCGGGGCGGGGTGGGGTGGGGTGGGGTGGGGCGAGACGCGGGCAGCGCCACGCGAGCGATGCAGGCAGAGCACGCATCGACCTTGATTTTCAGCGTGCGGTGCATAAGCAACCGGGCCACCCGAAAAAAAAGAGGAAGAGAGACGAAAACTTTATGGAGTGGACAATTTATTCTTTTGAGCCGTTTCTCAGCTTCCTCTCTGCCGTCCGGCGGCGGGGCCGGGCGGGGCCGGGCGGGGCCGGGCGCGGGGCCGGGCGGGGCCGGGCGGGGCCGGGCGGGGCTGCGCCAAGGGCTGCGCGCTGCGCGACGAGGCCCACCCCGTCGCCCACCCCAGCGTCCCCTTTTCTCCATTATAAGGCGAGCAGCAACATGCTGGCACAGTCCCATCTTACATACATTTGCACTTGAATTATGTTATCTTTCCTCTTGGTGTGGGATCCTGTCCCACCCCGCCCCGCCCCGCCTCAGACTGAAGTGGGCGTGGGCCAGGCCATGCTTTGTGGGGCGCCGGCCGGCTCGCAGCCTGCGCGTCGTAGCGGGCGCAGAGTGCGGCGGGCGGGGCGGGCTGCAAGCACAACGCAACAACCATCAACCAGAGCGAGAGACGCCCCTGACACTCGGAACGGAAGGAGGGCGTGGAGGGGGTGGGCCAGGCCGTGGACCAGGCCGTGGGCCAGTCCCCGCGGCCCCCGCATCCGCCCCGCTACGCCCCGCTCGCCGTGGTGCCTCGGAAAGAGAGGCCTTTGACAGCGAGGCGGGCAAGGCGGGCAGCGCGCGGTCAGGCAAAGGGACTTCCGCCCGCCCCGCCCCGCCGCGCCCCGGGACGTCCGAGGTGCCGTTGGTGCCGCGCAGGGCCGCCGTGCCGCCGTGCTTCTAGACAAGCCTTCTCTCTCACTCCCACAGCCGCCCTGCTTCCAGACGATCTTCCCCGCTCACTCCCACAGCCAGCCGCCGCGCTCCCAGGCGATCCTTCCCTCTCTCTCCCACAGCCGCCGCCGCCGAGCCGCCGCAGCCGCAGGGGTACACACACAGCCCCGGGGCGCGGCGGGGCGGGTGGCGCCACCTCGCGGAGGGCCGCGGAACCGCCTGGTGTTGTGCGCCAGTGACGCCCGGAGACGGATCGCACGCCGCCGCTCCGTCTCTCTCGCGCCCACGCAGCTCGGCCAACGAGTGCGAGCGAGACAGAACAGTGCCGCGTCCGTCAGCGTGCATTATGCACTTCGGTTCACGCCGAGGGTTCAGGCGACACTCGATGACGTACATGGCCTAGTTGCAGTGCCGCCAAAACTGGCGGTCTTTCCGGCGGTCAGTGTAAGTACCCGCCACGCGCCGCCACGCCGGGTGCAATGTGCCGGCCGAACCGTTGAGGCAGGTGAGACCGCCAGGAAGTGAAAGGTCGGCCAACGCCTTTTCCTGAAGCACGAGTCACCCAGTCGGCGCGCTTTGCTGACAAGACTAAAAACAGCGACGGCCCACGACCCACGGCCCGCGCGCGGGGGCTGACTATTCCAGTCCTGGCGTCCGCACCGCGTCCGCCGTGGCCGCGTGACCGGGAAGGGACCAGGTCAGCGACCACGACGTCGACCCGACCAGGAACACGCCGCCACGGCCCGCACTACGACGTACCTGGACGTACGCACGGTGGCCCACTCGGCACCATGTCGGCACCACGCAGGGCCACGTGCCGGTCGCCCTCAATGAGCTTCCGAGGGTCGCTTTCGTCGCTCTGTCTCTCTCGCACTCGTGGGGCATTCCCTTTAGGTGTGAGGGAGACAGAGCGATTTAAACGACCCTCGGAATCAGTCTGCAGGCCGGCGTCGACGCGCGAGCCCGGTGGCACTGGGTGGCACGCGGTCCGCCTAGCCCGGCCCGGCCCGCGGTGGGGGCAGCGCCCTGCCGCCCTGCACTCGGCCCTGCCTCATGGCCTGCCCACCTGCCACCAGTCGGTGGAGGACTGCATGCGAGGCAACCTGGCCGCGCCGCGGAAGCGCAATCGACACTCCTGTCACCGGGCTCAGCCGGCTCAGCAGACCCTCCCGCCCTCCACAGCTCCAACATGGCCATGATGGCGGAGAAGGTTCGCTTTCCCTTTCGGTGTGGCACTGGTAGAGCTGAAGCGTACTTTCAAGACTTTTTCCAGGCGCACTGGCTTCAGTTTTGCCAGTGCTTGCGTGGATAAAGAAAGAACAAACGTTTAAAGTTGCGGTCGTGGGCCGTTTTGCCTTCCAGAACATCAACTCGTCGTCGTTTATGGAGATGATTGCGAATGGATACCACACCCACATCATAGACAAAATCGGTGAGTTTTGAGTCGTGGGAGAACGCAGAGGCCCAGAGGCTGAAAGCGGCTCGTGGAGGGAGTCATTGAGCCCGTCTAATCGTGAAATCAGAGTCACTTCCAAGTCATCGCGACCACACATTTCAGCTCGGGTCCAGTCCAAGTCCAAAGCCCCATGGAACTCCATCTCCATGATATCTCTCCAGGGGAAGCCGTCCTTTTGCATGAGCTTCGATTCAGCCCCATGGGGGCGAACGAGTCCCATGGGAGAGTAGCATGGAAATCCTTAAGCATCCCCTGGCGTGAAATTTCATGGGACCAGGTCACATCAGAATTCCTCCTAGTTCGGTGAAATAATCGCTTCTCCCGTGCGTTGAAGGAGGGCCTTGTGAGAAAAAACTTCAGGGAATCCCGTAAATTTCTGTGCCAGCCAATAATATTTTCAAAGTGGACATCCATTTGTAGAAGTTGATAAATGTCAAAGTGTTGCGGGTTTGGACTCGAAATGAAAAGGTTATTGGACGTAAAAAGTGGTCTAAAGGCCCGACACGTCGTTTTCAACCTTTTGAACACTTTTGCGTCCAATAAATTTCGCAGTGTTCAGTCACTTAAATTATCACGCTTCTTGAGCCATTTCGACACTGGCTCCTTCTCGCTCGCATCGACGTGAGACACCGTGCGTCTCTCTCTCATGGCTCTAAAGTCCGGCCACTGCAGGCGCAGGCTAGTCAAAGCTGCCACGCTTCTCTGCTCAAATTTTGGAATGGGTTGCACGGGCTGATTGACTGTTGGGAACTGGGTGCAATTCATTAATAATTAAGTCTACCTGGGTTCCGAAGAGGCCGCGCCGACGGCACACCAGGCGACAACGAACGAGCCGCGATTAGCATGCCGCCACGCCGGCCATGCCCAGTCAATGACCCCACTAACGCATGGTGCACGCGAGTTCAAAAACCTCACCAAATGTGGTGTTTGGAAACAAAGCCTCCTCAGGAGTCTATATCATTTCTCCTACCTAAATGTTCGCCTACCTGTCTATTTCGCCTACCTATATTTCGCCTACCTAATAAAAATATTGAATAAAAATATTCAATTAATATTGCCATTTTTCGCCTACCTATAGTTCGCCTACCTAATAAAAAAATTAAATAAAAATATTCAACAAAAAAACGAAAAAATCGGCGGCAAAAAGTGGCAATACGAAAGTCTCAAGGAGACCCGCCGATCAGCTTCGGTGTTCTTATGGGAACCGGGCCTTCATCCGACGCTCCCTGCCGCGCAATTCGACAGATTAGTGGGTTCGTATTAGGCTGGCCCACCCGAAGTGCGCGCGGTTTCTGTGGTACAGTGAGAGTCCAGATTCAGAGGCCTTACCTCAGAGGGGTCACATTGGGTATTTGAACCCGCGACCCCGAGTGCCGAGTCTAGTCAACTCCTCTACCCTGACCGCTCAGCCACCGAACCAGCTTGTCGGCGGCGATGTCGCAACTCCTCTTGAGCTGCCGTTCGAGAAATCTGGTCCCGAAAAAAGGGTACCTGGAGCGGTCTCGAACCCGGGACCTGCTGCTTCCCACATCATGCTCTTAACCACTGAGCCACCGGGACGCCATGGCACCCGCCCTGCCTGCGCTGGTACTCAATCTTCTCTGGATATACCTCCCCAAGCAATTAGTCGCCGAAAAAATTGTGTATACTACCGGTCCCGAACCCGGGACCTACCGCTTCCCACATCATGCTCTTAACCACTGAGCCACCGGGACGCCATGGCACCCGCCTTGCCAGCGCCGGTACCCAATCTTCTCTGGATATACCTCCCCAAGCAATTGGTCGCCGAAAAAATTATATATATTACCGGTCCCGAACCAGGGACCTGCCGCTTCCCACATCATGCTCTTAACCACTGAGCCACCGGGGACGCCATGACACCCGCCTTGCTAGCGCCGGTACCCAATCTTCTCTGGATATACCTCCCCAAGCAATTGGTCGCCGACAAAATTGTATGTATTACCGGTTCCGAACCCGGGACCTGCCGCTTCCCACAACGTGCTCTTAACCACTGAGCTACCGGAGGATCATGGTGCCCGCACTGCCAGCGCTGGTACTCAATCCTCTCCGGATAGACCTCGTCAAGAAGTCGGTTGCCTCTGCCGAAAAATATGGTCATGGTACTAGTCTCGAACCCGAGACCTGCCAGTCAGGAACGCAGCACTCTAACCACTGCGCTACTAGGTTGCTACGCACAGCCCTCACCCCATAGCCGAACTTATTATTTGTCCAGCATCAAGCAAGATGGGTGGCCATTGAAGTTTGGCGCTTGGTTAGTAGCGGGCATAGCAACCTGGTAGTACCGTGGTTAGAGTGCTGCGTTCCTGACTGGCAGGTCTCGGGTTCGAGACTGGTGCCATGAGCAAATTTTTCGGCAACGGCAACAAACTTCTTAAGGAGGTCTATCCGGAGAGGATTGAGTACCAGCGCTGGTAGAGCGAGCACCGTGGTCCTCCGATAGCTCAGTGGTTAAGAGCATGATGTGGGAAGCGGCAGGTCCCTGGTTCGGGACCGGTAATATATATAATTTTTTCGGCGACCAATTGCTTGGGGAGGTATATCCAGAGAAGATTGGGTACCGGCGCTGGCAAGGCGGGTGCCATGGCGTCCCGGTGGCTCAGTGGTTAAGAGCATGATGTGGGAAGCGGTAGGTCCCGGGTTCGGGACCGGTAGTATACACAATTTTTTCGGCGACTAATTGCTTGGGGAGGTATATCCAGAGAAGATTGAGTACCAGCGCAGGCAGGGCGGGTGCCATGGCGTCCCGGTGGCTCAGTGGTTAAGAGCATGATGTGGGAAGCAGCAGGTCCCGGGTTCGAGACCGCTCCAGGTACCCTTTTTTCGGGACCAGATTTCTCGAACGGCAGCTCAAGAGGAGTTGCGACATCGCCGCCGACAAGCTGGTTCGGTGGCTGAGCGGTCAGGGTAGAGGAGTTGACTAGACTCGGCACTCGGGGTCGCGGGTTCAAATACCCAATGTGACCCCTCTGAGGTAAGGCCTCTGAATCTGGACTCTCACTGTACCACAGAAACCGCGCGCACTTCGGGTGGGCCAGCCTAATACGAACCCACTAATCTGTCGAATTGCGCGGCAGGGAGCGTCGGATGAAGGCCCGGTTCCCATAAGAACACCGAAGCTGATCGGCGGGTCTCCTTGAGACTTTCGTATTGCCACTTTTTGCCGCCGATTTTTTCGTTTTTTTTTTTGAATATTTTTATTTAATTTTTTTATTAGGTAGGCGAACTATAGGTAGGCGAAAAATGGCAATATTAATTGAATATTTTTATTCAATATTTTTATTAGGTAGGCGAAATATAGGTAGGCGAAATAGACAGGTAGGCGAAATAGACAGGTAGGCGGACATTTAGGTAGGAGAAATGAACAACTCCCCTCCTCAGCTGGCCCTTTTGGCCTAAAGTTCCTAAAATTTCCAGATTAATAAAGTAGCGCGTTGTTCGGAATTATTGACATTTTTACTGTGGTCACTTGAGAAGGCCAACCCAAGAAGGACGTGTTTCCGTCCTATGTATGCATATTGGTATGTTTACCGCGGCCAGTACAAACGACTTCTTACAAACAAATCAAATTCAGTAGCCGTACTGATTTACGTGTCATTTTTTGTGCCCCTCTGGACTCAAATAACTCAATGCATGTCAGAATGGACGTGAATGGAAACTTTGACCCGTGGCGAAGACAAGGAGTCACTTCCTTCCTCGGTGTTCCTTGGGTGCAGTTGCTGACCAACAATTCTGTGCTTTGCAGACCCCCGCTCCGAGGACTGGCTTCTAGTGTCCTCACCGTTCGTGCCGTTGGGCATCGTCACCGCGTACTTGCTGTTCGTGAAAAAACTGGGCCCCAGCTTTATGGCCAATCGCTCTGCGTACAGGATTGAACCACTCATCATCCTCTACAATGTCATCCAAATCGTTGCCTGTCTCTACATCTTCATTCATGTATGCCCACAGCAAAAAATTAAAGCCGTTTGGCCGGAAAGTTGTTTTTTTTACATTTTTGTTGTTGTTGTTGTTGTTGCAGGGATTGACAATGTGGCGGCAGCTGGGATACAATTTTACTTGCCAACCGGTGGATTACACCGTTACCGAACAAAACAGAGCGGTAAGTATTTTTTGTTGTTTCTCGAACCAATCGCACGGCTTCCTTTCGGTGCACAATAAATTTAAATTTAATTTTTATCTTATCAGGTGGCGAACTCGGTATTTGGCTACTACCTCATTAAAATCTCAGACTTGGTCGACACCGTAAGTCCTCATCAAACTACTTGATGACATATTCATCATGTCAAAACAAGTGAGCAGCCTTCTTTTTCTGCGTTGCAGGTATTTTTCATTTTGAGGAAAAAGTTTAGCCACGCCTCGTTTCTGCATGTGTACCACCATGCGGGGATGGTCATTGTAGGATATCTAGCGTGCAAATTTTCGCTCAGTGAGTACTTTGAAGCAAACCCCTTCTGGATCCTCTACCGTGATGATCTATGCCACATTTTCTTCTGTTTCAGATGGCCATTTCGTCCTGCTAGGAATCGTCAACTCCTTCGTGCATGTCTGCATGTATTCTTACTACTTGGCGACTGCGATGTGGCCTGAGACCAAACCATCACTAACCGTTAAAAAGACCCTCACCATCATCCAGTTGGTTAGTCGGCTTTCTCTTACAGACACTAAAGCACCCTTCGGGTAGAATCATCTCATTCTTTGCTGTTGCCCGCTCTAGGTGCAATTCTACGTCCTCCTGATCCACGAAGCCCTGCCGCTCTTGCAACCCAACTGTGACGTACAGAAGCACTGGGCCGCCGCCCTCGTTGTGCAGTACACCTTCATGATCGCCCTCTTCACGGACTTCTACAAGAAGGCCTACTCCGGAAAAAAGAAAACGGCTTGACACACTCTTTTGGACACCGACCAAAATACTCTCAGACTCGCCTGGACGTAACTAACAATTGTCAATAGTAATAATAGTGATAATGTTAATAAATAACTTTTAAGGAACTGGTATGTTCTTTGTATTTGCCCTGACATTTAGCACTGCTGTTGTGGTGTCCGATGCATTTTACATATGAACCTAACCTAACTTACAAGCAGGATTCTCTACGGTGTGGGAAAGTGGGCGTAGTGCCCCATTTTTTTCTTATTTTCCTTCAAGCTCTACTATTTTTTTTAATGTTTTACAACAACGGCTAAAAACAATTACCTCTCCAATCTGACTTCCCACAGTGCGTTATCCACATATCTGGGCAATGATAGCGATGCCGATAGGGCCGATAGGCAGGGCGACACGGCGGGGAGTGGGAGGGGGCACTCGACTCGGTGCACGGCCTGACGGCCTGCACGGCCTGGCCCAGTCGGGTCGGGCTGAACGCGCCGAGGCCCCACGGCCCAGTCCCCGCGCCGCACTCCGCCAGACTCCACGGCGAGGCCGCAGAGTGCAGGCCGACCGTCCAGCGCCTGTCCACGCCAGCCCACGCCAGCCAGGCCCTCGGCAGGACCCGCACCACCAAGAGGACCTCCCTGAGGACCTCCAGGAAGGCGCCTGAGCCTTCCCTCTCTTCGCCTGGACGGCAGGTCGGCTCATATGTTTTGAGGCTTCCCTCCCTCGTCCGTCCGTCCGTCCTACTCTGTGTTCGTGTAGTGTGTCTCCGTGCTTTTGTGTGGTCAGTGCGTCCCAGTGTCTGGGGCGGTGTCGGAGTTTTGGTTTCATTTCTACCCACCAGTCTTCCCAAAACGGCCGCCGTAAGTACGACTTGCAAATTTATCAGATGTTATGGCATGTTTTGGCGTGTATGGTGGAATGTGAATGAATGAATGAATAAATGAATGAATGACCGAATGAATGAATGAATGAATGAATGAATGAATGAATGAATGAATGAATGAATGAATGAATGAATGAATGAATGAATGAATGAATGAATGAATGAATGAATGAATGAATGAATGAATATTGGGAGCCATGTGAACTGTTGCCACAAAACAATTGGCGTGCTCCCCACGGAGCAGAGCGCCCTGCAGCGACGCCCCCTTCCTCCTCCGCGGCCGGCAGCAGCAGGCGGCAGCAGGTGAACGGACCCGACCTTGCCCCCCCCCCCTTCCCCCTCCCCCATCGCCTCCCGGGATCTGTGCGTAAGGCCGGTGGCCGGCCGGCCGAGCCCGCGCATTCGCATTAACGCCTCTGCGCTCAATAACAAAGCGATGAAACGAATGCCGTGTCGCAACGCGCGCCCGATTAACGTCCATGGGTCGAATTTTTCATACATGGTGATGCGAAAATTCTTGAGAAAATGGGCGAGCGTGCGACGTTGGCGAAAGCGTTTTGGCGCCTGGCGCTGTTGCGGGCAGACCTTTCGAGTGTCGTGGCGCCTTTGTCAGTGGAGCGGCACAAGTCGTGGTTGCGCACGCCCCACTGCCATGCCGCTGCTCGAGACGGGACCGAGACCTGCTCCCTCAAAGACGCGGGCGGACCCACAATGCGAAATTCGCCGCGAACCGATGCAGTTCAGCACACTGTAAACGAACACGACTCGGCCAAGCGAGAGTAACCGAGCCTCGACTCGCGTAAAGCCCAGTCCGGGCCAGTCCGACCAAACTCCAGTCAAGGGCACCGCAGAGGCGGACCGGGACGTTGCTGCAACACGCGTTTCTTGGTGTTTTTGTTGTTGTTGTGGCCCTACTCGGCGTCTGCGCGCAGCGGCAGTAGCAGTCGGTCCTTTTTGGCGGGGAAACGTAAACTCCATGTACAGCAGGCCACACAGGCGATGCGGGCGATGCGGTTCATGCGATGCCACCTTGCTTCCAACTCCACCGCCTTGGCATTTCGACACACTGCTTGGTGCGGCCTGCGCCTCGGCCTGCGCCGCCGCAAGGGCGCGGAGTAGCGCGCTGAGCAGCACGCTTCGTCGCTCTGTCTCTCTCGCGCCCTCACGGCACGCGCCATGAGTGCGAGGAAGACAGAGCATGCTGTTCGGCGTGCAGCAACCATTATCGGCCCGCCCTGACAAGGCCGACAGCGAGTCCAGCGTGGTCCAGCGTCCACCCTCTGGTCCATCAGGAGACCGGTTTCACACACACACACACACACACACTGCTGCCATCTGTCAAACAATACAGTCCAGTGACGCACACGCTGGGATACAACTTTGCACTACTGACTCACTCGGTGAGCTCTCCAATTCGTGCCTCCACTTCTTGGGACGACTAGTGGTTTTCCTGCAGCACGGAATGTGTGCCAGTTCAATCAATGGGCACGGTTGTTCGCGGCGTTGCCCAAAGTGGCGGTGGTGGTGGCGCCGGTGCGAGAATTAAATACGCGTCCTCGGCGGCGCGGTCGAAACCTTGTCAAAACTACTGACCGCGCGGAGCACTCCACTCGTAGAGCGATATTGAAGTCATAAATCAAAAGCGGTGTTTGCCGCGTTCATTGCCTGGAGTGATGAAACACGAAACGGACGGGCAGCCTTGGCGATGCTCGAACCTCGATGCTCGAACCTTGATGCTCGAACCTCGATACTCGAACCTCGATGCTCGGCCACGTGCCGCCGCGTACGGCCGAAGAGTCCGGTGGAGGCCCGTCGGCACAGTGACCCACAGACTGGCTACAGGCTGGCCACCGCTACGGCACGGCCACAGGGTCGGCCAGTGGCATTTGCAGCAATCACACAGTCGTCAATTAATTTTTCGCAGGGAACCACGGACGGGGCCTCGGGAACCCAGACTCGCGTGTGTTTGCTTTGGACTCTCGTTTGGAATAAAAGGTGGGGGGAAACGAGAAACAATTGAAGGAGGAACATAACCGGTTAATTCATACGACATGAGTGAGCGAGACGGATGATGAATGGTGAGGCGTCAGGACGGCACCAAAGCCGGATGGAGCGGGCAATCACGAGAGCAAATCGAACGTCAGTGCGACATTGTGGTGTAGCACACTGACCAGGTTGCGATGGGTCTTGAGGCAGAACGAGAAAAAAGTGCCGCGAACGAGCCACTCCGTGACACGGGACTGGTTCGAGAACGGGAATACTGACAGGGCATGGCAGGACGGAACCCTTGCGCCATGCCGAGTCTGCCCGAGTCCCGCCGAAGAAAAGGAGAACCTGACTAGGTCAGCGCGCGGCGCGCGGCAGCGGAGTGGAATACAGAAAGACAGAAACAAACGGAGTTTGACCAGCCGGCGCCCCGTCTCGCCATGGCGGCCAACAATAACTTCCTCCGCCAATGAGAGCGCGGTACTCGGTGTACTCGGGTTCGCGCCCATGCGGCGCGCACGCACTCGAAGGCGGGCCGGCGGCGCGGGGCAGCGCGGCCGGCAGGGCCTGCTTGGCCTGCTGCAGGATGGCGGCGGCCCTCGGGTCTACCCTCGGGGCCACCGAGGCGGGTCAAGGTACAGTGGCGCCTCTGGCGGCCTCTGGCAGCCTCTGGCGGCGGGGGCAGAAGGCAGAATGGCTGTCCTGTCCGTCGTGCCGCCCTGCTTGTTGCACCGCACGGCCGGTCTGGGTGTGGGGCCCACACTGTGGGCAGCCGCCGAGTGCGGTGTGTGCTGCTGTGGCTGCGGGCACTTTGAGGCAACCTGCAGCGGTATGAATGGCGCGAGGCGTGAGCGCGCGTACGACGACCAACGACACAATGCACGCCCAGGATTGTTGCGGCGCCTCCCAGACGGACTGACAGACACGCAGACAGACAGACAGACAGACAGACCGGTGTGTGCAGTGTGCGTTAGCGAGGTGAATCGAAAAGCAGTGCAAACGGACGCAGGATGCGGAAGAGTGACATTGACCTCTGACAGCAGAGACAGTTATCCGCGCGCAGACGGACGGACTGAAAGCGAAAGAGGAAAGAAGGCGAGTAGTGGTGAGGTCGTTGGCTCACCGTCTGCCAAACCGACTGCCGCCGCTTGCTGTGTTCGGTGCCCCCACCCCCCCACCCCGCCCCGCGCCGCCGGCCCGTCGTCCGTGACTCCTGGAGGCCGGCAAGGCCAAGGTCCTGCAGGGCGACGTGTTACGTGTTATGCATGCTGGCTCTGAAAAACACTGGTTCTGGGACGCTTCATTCCAAGAGGCTTCAAGTGAAGCGTCCCATGCATTAAGATAGGCGGCAGAGGAGCGGGCCGCTTGAAGCCGAGCGTAGTGGTAACCGGTGCCCCCAAACTAAGTGCGGTTAAGGCGTTCCCGAGGCGGGGCCTCAAAGAGTAGGGTCCTGAGAGTGCCGTCCCGAGCTCGTCAAGGATGAATCAGGCCGGCACCCGCGTCACCTGCGTCGTCACGGCGGTGATAGGGGCGTCAGCGCGTCAGCCCAGCCCGGTGAAGGGTCGAAGGCGATAGCGCCGCGGTATTGGCGGTGAGCTGCTCTGCTGCTTATCGTGCCGCGGGTGCGGGGAGTGCGGCTAGCGCGGCCGGAAACGCGGTCCTTGCCGCCTTGCCAGCGAGCCGCCAGCGGCATGCCACGCCATCCCAATGGACGTGGACGTCCTTTCTCTTGGAAAACCTTGGCGCCGCGGCGCTATGCAGCGGGACGCGAAGCCACGCGAAGCCACGCGAAGCCAAGCCTCCGTCGCCTCCAAGCTCGCTGCGAACAGTTGTTGCAGTCGTCTGGACCGCCGGCAAGACGTGTGTCTGGGCGGGCCTGGTACGAGGCTCGGCCGGGTGTCGCCCGAATTTGATGACGGATGGAGGAGTCGGCTCCCTTCAGGCATCACAGCGGCGTGGCCGTTGGGCAATCGTGGAGCTGCACAGTGCGCCACGGTGGCGGCGGCCAAAAATTCTAGACGCGTTTTGAGCTCCAGAGTCGCTCAATGGGATTCGAACCGAACGTCGTGTGAACCAATGAGTTGCTTTCGAGGAATTCGTTGGTGAGGACACTCGTTCACTGTAAGCTGTGTCGTCCCGCCTGTCCGCGATTCCACGCAGATGAAGCTGCCGCTCTCAGGCTGCCCGCCCTGCCCGCCCCGCCCCACGCACCGCACCTTTCTCGGACACTGTGCCCGACGGCCCGACGGCCGTTCCCGTAATGGCGGGTCACGTCTCGGCCGGGCGGGCCAGGAGAGAGGGGGAGGGGGAGGGAGATGCAGTCGTCGACCTTGCAATCCACCGAGATACTCCGCGCGCCTCGCCGGCTTGCGCTGTGCGCGCCGTGCGTCGCCATCCCGGCGCGTGGTTTATTCAGAAGGATAATTGTGAGCAGACGAAAAAAAAACCTACGCGCAAAACCATTTAACCATTGTGTCGTTTATTTTATTTAAAAAAAAAAAAAAACAATTAAAAATATTCCCGTCCGACGAGACGACCCGTGACATTTGAGGTGTGGCAAGTTGTTGGTGCTGAGGACGGTGTTGACACTGGTGAGGCTCTTTCTCGGCCAGCGCTTTGCAGTGCTTTTCAGCGCGTCGCAGCGCTTTGCAGGTGCGGAGGGCACCTGCATGGCGGCACCGACGTGACGCGCGTCGGATTGTCCTCAAAGCCACTCCAAGCCCGACAAACCGATAATTTTCTAGTGGAGACACTTCAACTTGTCTCTGGGATATCTTTTCAGGGCCGCCGGAAGTACTTTCTGGTGGGGGAAGGGCGAAATTTTTATGAAAAAATTTATGGGTTGCCTACCGTTAAGGGGCAGCATCCAATACGGTCGAGCTAGTAGCCAAAAATCAAAGAAATTGCGACTTTGCTATAGTTTTCTCTCTATTTCGAGCTCAAAATGGCACTTTTGCGTCTGAAAGTAGGGGGGTTTGTATCAGGAAGTCCGGCGCCCTTGCATCTTTTGGTGTACTGTACTGAACTTTTTTCTGCGCGAACAAACCCTGCGTTGGCCCAGAACGCATGCTTGTTGACAAGTTGAAGAGTCGTGGCGGCAAAGCGGTCGCAGCGCCCGACGGCATGGCCGTTTGAATTGACACCCTGTTGTCGTTCCAGGTTATGGGAGTGACCAACTTCACGATGCTTCTCACGATCCTCGTGATCACCCTCCTCCTCACCATCACCGTCTCGTAAGTGTACCTCTGCCAGTCGTCCGCGGACGACTTGGACCGAGATCTCCGCCTCGACTCGGACTGTGCTTTGGTCCAAGCGCGGTAGCCCTTCGTGGCTAGACGCTTGAGCCCGGACTTGACTGTGCGATGGTGTGTCGGGTGTGTCGGTGTGCTTGCGGGTCGGCCGGCCGGTGCGCCGCCGGTCTGTCGCGGTGGTCGCGGCCGCGCCGTGGAGGTAGGCCTCCCATCCGCCTCGGCCGCTGTGGGGGCAGCGCTTCAACCGGCGCCTCTGTGTTGTTGCAGCTACGGCGTGTCCGTCAAGCTGGGCCATGTGCCCCTCGCCTTCCCCTACATCAGCGAGACAGGCAACACGCAGCCTGAGAGCTGCATCTTCAGCTTCGGCATGAACATCGCCTCCTTCTTGTGTCAGTAGTTTGCTCACAAATATTTCATTCATTTTTTTTTTTAAGTATTGTATTTGAACCCGAATCTTTCGGTTCCAGACGCCGTGGCCGTGTACCTGCGCTACCGCGAGCTGGTCCACTTCCGCGCCATGAGCCCCGAGAGCCGCATCTCCGTGCCGTGGAACCGCTTCGGGCTGTGGCTGGGCTCGCTGAGCGCGCTGGGGCTGTGCGTGGTGGCCAACTTCCAGGTGGGCAAGGTGCCCGTGCCGCACTACCTGGGCGCCATGTGCTGCTTCGTGGGCGGCTCCGCCTACTTCGCCCTGCAGGTGGGTGCACCGAGTGAGCAGTGCGGATCCAGGGAACGAAGGGAGTCAAATGGGGGTAGTTGCAACCTCGTACTGGATGGGCAACAAGCAGTTTGCCCATGTAAGTAGGCGAAAGGCGCTGCAGGAATTCCTAGTCCCGCGTCATCGCGCGGCATGCCAGCGCCAGCCGGGCGCGGTCCATCCAAATGGCATCGCGTGATGCAGAGACGCCATTTGACGGCGCGACCGCTCGCGGCGGCATTTAGGGGCATTTAGGCGCGGCCGGGACTGCAATGCCAGTGCAACACTCTCCTTCCCCTTTATCTGTGACATTTGTTTAATTTTGTGGATTCCAGACCTGGTTCTCGAAGCGCATGTGCCCGCAAGTGAGCACCAAGCAGATGGTGGTGCTGCGGACGGCGCTCACCGTCATGTCCGCCGTGGCGCTGGTCGTGTGCGTGGCGTCGGCACTCGTCGCCATCCCGCAGTTTGACGGTAACATGCACTGTGAGGACACACTGCAGTGGACCCTGTAAATGCAAGCCTTTGCTGTGGTTTCGCTGCTGTTGTCCAAAGGCCCATAAGACGTTGTTTTGAACACCTTTTGACGGCCTTTCAAAAAAGTACGGTCGTTAACCCTGTACCTGAAACTACAGACCTGAAACCACAAGAACGGCTGAAAAAAAATTATCGGGATTTTCTGTGTTCCGCTTCTTGTCCCTGTCCACGTCATAGCTCTACTCACTCTAAAAGTCTTACAGTGAAGATTCTCCGTTTTCTGGTGAAAATTCTCTCCGTTATGGTGGTACTACAGCTTTGAAAATTTATTGTACCTATTATCGATTTTTTAAAAAATTATGGAGACAATTTCTCCTTAATGATTCGGTGCAGCCTGTAAGACGTTTAGGATTGAGGGCCCTGGCAGCCCGTTCTGACCGGTGTGACGGTGTGTCGGCAGGGACGGACCAGGTGGACTGGCGGCCGGAGCACAAGGGCTACGCGCTGCACTGCGTGTCCACGGCGGCCGAGTGGCTCGTGGCGCTGCTCTTCGTGGGCAGCATCGTCACCTACATCCCTGAGATGCGCGCCGTGTCCCTGAGCCCGCCCACCTTCAGGGTCAGTACCGAGCCGGCAAAGCGCGCAAAGCGCGCAAAGCCGCGAGGCCACAGATCGCTCCTCGGAAACCGAATCGAATCCAACCAAGCTACTTTCACTCAATTTGAAAAACAAAAAAAAAAAAACAAAAAAAAAAGTGAAATTTGTACGAAATCGGAGTTTTGTATCCAAAACAATAGAAACGGTGGTATTTTTGCCTGTTCGGACAGGACTACGTCTTACTCGGTTCGTTTTAAAACCCCGCAAGTAACATAAAAGTTTTTTTGGTTTTTTTTTTGGAGATTCGATTCGAGTTGGTTCGAGATTGTGCCGCATGACTTGCATGCCCTGCATGCCCTATGCACGTCACCCTCTCCCCCCTCCCCTCCCACGCAGCGCTCTACGTGTGCTTCTCGCCTTTCAGATCACCGTGATCGCGTAGCCAGGCGTGGCCAGGCCTAGGCAGTCCTTGCCTACCAGCGCGGCGGCGCCTGTCCCACTTAACGGTCAGTTTCAAATCACGTCGCCCCGATTTAAGCGAAAACTCCCACCGGAAGACAACACATCACTGACTCGCGCGCGCGCACGCGCGTCCCTGGGCGAATGCTAAACCAGCGCCTGCCTCGCCCGCCTGCCTGGCACTCGCACTACTTCTGCTCATTCTTCTTCGCGGGATAGTTTGAGTCGTAATTGAGGTCATTAGACAGTTGCAGTGCACTGTTATAAATGTCCTGCACGCAGTGCGAACTTTAGGAAATTCCCAACAGTCTTGCTGTTTACGACTGTCGCCGGCAGTTCGATAACAATGTCCGGTCGTTACTGGATTCAAGTTTGGAAATTTCCGTTGGAATTTTCAGTTCCATCCTCGTGGCGCTTCTAGTGTAGGCCGCGCAGAAACGGGGCGTCTGGCCGCGTCTGGCTTTCTTCAAAGACTTGCATGATTAACAGTTTGAGCCGGTGAAAAGGGTGACTAGCCGGTACGGAGCCATAGAGAGCCCAGTCTCGGCTTGATGTCTCGCGCCTAACGCTTTTGCATGAATGTGCCTGCCCAGCACTGCACGGTGGGTCGAAGTCCGAGCAGAGACACTGTAGGTGGGGGGTTTTAAATTATGGCCTCGTTTCTGGCCTAGATTCACTGTCCTAGAGGTCTAATTCTATTGTTGTTTTCTCTCCCGGGGTGGTGTTTCAGATTTTGTTACTGGAATCGGTAACAACGACCAAAGTAGCCGAAAAGTACTGACGACCTCATCTCGACGCCATGCTCAATTAGGTGAAGCGCCTGTATGAAAAACGACAACTCCGGGTGTAACAAGTGTATCTGTGATAACCATGTTTCATCATATCAATCAATTTAAATTTAACTTTTTTGCATATTTTTTTTTGTTTGTATATTGTAACTTTTGTTCTAAAATGAAACGAATATATGTGATCATTGTGGTTTTGTGTGGATCAGTACTATTTTTTCCTGTCACCGGGGTGAAAACGTGGGTCAGGTTGGGAAACATTAGAAACACGAAGTCAAACTTAAAAAGTCGATTTTATTTCGTTATGTACATAGCCGTAAAAGATGAGAAAAATACGTCGTAACATCGGCAGGCGTGACTCGGCCGCTGGCAAGAGAAGCGAAACCCGACGCCAATTCAAGGCCGATTTTTTTTGCAGTCGGCGTCAAATTCGAGTTTGCAAAAATGGCTTCGGCTTCCTCTTCTCAAAGCAGAGTTCGCCCTTAGAGCTAGATTTCCTTAGCCTAGTATACTGGTTGTCATCGCCACCTGCTGCAAGGAACACGAGTCTCCCCACTCGACGAGCAGAGTGTCGCCGTACTGTGATGTTGGCAGCGGCGCAGCCTTCAGTGCTCGTTCCCTCAGGTTGGCAGCGCCGTCCCGCGGCGTGTCTTTTCGAAGCATGCAGTCACTGCACGGGCGCGGCACCGCCTAGTAGTTCTGCGAGTAGCTGCCGCCACTGTAGGGGTTGCTGCTGTAGGAGTTGCTGCCGTAGGGGTTGCTGCTGTAGGGGCTGCTGCTGTAGGGGTTGGAGCTGTAGCCGCTGTTGTAGCCCGATCCCTGTCGCGAGTAGGGGTTGTTGTAGCCGGAGCCGCTGGGGTACTGGCTGTACTGGCTGTTGTAGCCCTGGTTGTAGCCGTTGTAGCCCTGGCTGGACTGGCTGTAGGGGTTGTAGCCGCCCATCCCGGTCGGGGAGTAGGAGCGGCCCGTCGGGTACTGGCTGCTGTACTGGCTGCTGTACGGGTTGTTGTAGCCTTGGTTGTAGCCCTGGTTGTAGCCCTGGGACCCGTAGGCAGATGAGCCGTAGGGGTTGGATCCGTAGGCATTGGAGCCGTAGGGGTTGGATCCGTAGGCGTTGGAGCCGTACGCGTTGGAGCCGTAGGGGTTAGAGCCGTAGGCGCCGTAGGCACCGGACGCCGACGGGTTGTACCGGCCACCCGCCGTGTACACGTTGTAGCCCTGCTGGTCGTAGGGGTACGCTGCGGGGCAGAAAAACAGAGTTGAGAACAGGGAGTCCAGAGCGCAGCTCCTGGAGCGGGCAGAAGTGCTTACTGGAGGCGGTCTGCTTCTTGGCGCGCACGAGCTTCTCCGCGTCGTCCTCCACGGGCTTGGCGTGCACCGCGGCCAGCAGGCACAGCGCGGCGAGGGCCCAGACCTGTCGGACACAGAGGAAGAGAGGTGGCGATGAAGGCCGAGATCGAGAACCCGCTGTGCGAGCGGCCGGGCGGCCTCGGAGCCCCTGCGAAGGCGGGGGTAGGCCACCGCGCGACACGGCCGCTCGACGGGCGTGCCTGCCTCGCAGGCGCCGTGGCGGGCCTGCCTATCTAGCAGGCGCTCAGCGCAGCCGGCGACTGTACCAGAGTAGTGTACCTGCCGAAGGCTTTGCGTTCGGCTTTCGGGCCGGGGGTGGTGGCAACACTGGTAACCGAGGGTCAGGGCCGCACCAAGTTCGCAACGAGTGACCGCCAGCGAGTTGGCCGGCCTTCCGGATGTTGTCGTGTCACTGCCGAAAGCCGAAGACTCCCAAAGGCGCGGCGAAGGCAGCCGAACGAGCCTTCGGGCTTCGCGCCATGCCAGGATGAGGGCCGGCTTGGGCGTCACCATGGCCCGCGCCACTCCGCGCCACTCCGCGCCACGCCGCGCGCATCCCGGGACCTCTGCCCCGCCAATCACCAATGCAGGTCAGCCTAATCAGCGAGGAGACTCACTATTGACAAACAACGGCCGCCTCATGCCGAAGGACCGTCGCTGCGTCTCTGTCGCACTCGCGGTGCGTGCCGTCGGGGTGCGAGAGAGACAGCGGCAGAAAAATACAGAGTTCTCCGTTGGGCAAAACGACTCGCTTGCACGCACACCGCCAAAATTGCGTTTCCGGTGTGGTGGCCGCACTGCCAATGGCGGTTTGGCGACCAGGACGGGTCGCGCTGTCGCGCCCTGCAAGGCCTAGAGGCCCACTCATTACGTCTGTTTGAAGACGAACAAACGGGAACCGTGCGACCCGGTTTGGGAACTGAGTCTCCCTGACTCAGGAAGCCAATCCAGCCAGGAGGAAACGAAAGAGAGGGGGGAATCACTGTACCGTAATAAATATGAGTGCACTCGTGCGAAATTAGCGAGGGAGTCTGTCAATGCCAGCCGGATGGGCTGGCCGGCACCGCCTGCCTAGGCAGGGTCACCGATACCACACTCGTAACGTTTTTAACGTTTCAGACTCGTTGGTATACAACGGTGAAGATTTTAGCCATCAGACGAAAGAAATTCGACAAGACGTCGATAGGGCACAGAGAATTTTCAGAGGTAACCTACAGAGTCAGCTGCGCCAACAAATTACAAAGACTCTTCCCAATTAGACTTTTAGAGTTCACTTGACGGAAACAATGAAACAAGCACGCGGTGGACGCGGTGGAGCTAAGCTAAGCTAACGGTGCCCGGTCCAATTTTCGACTAGCACACTGTCGTCTCCAGGGAAGTCCTTGCGGCCGCCCCGCTCCAGGAGACACGCACGCGAGCGGCTGCCGGAACGCCGTGCCCCCGACTCTGATACACTCTGCAGCGAGATCGGAGAGCTCACTTCACTCACTCGCGTGAGTGAGTGACTCACTTCGAGGGAGCTATTTAGAGAGATAAATACGGCTTCAGGAGGCAAATTCCGCGGATAAAGTTGGGTAAAAAGGTAAAAATTACCTACTACTTCACTTAATAGCCAATTAAATGACCTGGATATCCCGCAGACACGTTTTATTTCATACAATCGAATAAACTCGAAGTGAGTCACTCGCTCGCGCGAGCGAGTGAGTCGAGCTCCCTGATCTCGCTGCAGCTAACGCACGGACGCCAGCGGCGGTGGCTTTTATGTTGTGTTTTTTATTTCAGGCGTGCACAAAAATTAAATACATAAGATAAATTTTAAATTTGAGTTTAAAGCAAAAAGCCTGAAGCTTTAATAAATTTCCCAAAGTTATAAAGGATGAGATTTTCGCCGCTTGAACTGCTCACTGAGGCAAAATCTGTTTCGATCTACCTCGGTGCAAGAACGAGAAAATGGTGCCTGAAATTGGCATAAAATCGCGAAATTCGCCTCATTTGCCACTCGGTGCAAAAGCCGTCGTTTCGAAATTCAGCGCCGATTTTCATTCCAAATTGTCGACCTCCACCCGCACTGGATCAGTCCGGCCCCTCGCTGGCACCTCGCCCTGACTCACCATCTGCTTCTGCTTGCTCTCCATGTCGACGTGCGGGGTGTGGCGTCGTCGGCCGAGTGATGCCCCTCGCCGGCCTGCTCGCCGTTTTATAAGATGCGGGGCGCCGGTCCGTCCCTGAAGGCCTGAAGGAGGCGCGCGCCGCGCGGACATGGCGCGAGGCTCCGCGGCTCCGCGGCAAGGGACGGTCGACGCCGTGCCCGGCGCCACGCCGGCCGGACCGAGCCGGGCCGGGCCGGGCCACGCCGAGCCGAGCTGAGCCGTGGCGAGCCGAGCAGAGCCGAGCAGAGCCGAGCAGGGCCGAGCCGAGCCGAGCCGAGCCGGCCCCAGCGCCTAGAGCCGGGAGCCGAGCCGGGCCCAGCGAGTTGTTCGGGCGTGCACCCATCATTAGCAGGGTGACTTGGTGGCCATAGACCACGACCAAAACAAAGCTTCCAAAACAAGGAGCAGATGGTGCGAGGGACAACAGGTCACTGTTGCACCCAGCAGAAGACGCGCACACACACTGCACGCACTAACCTATCCCGCACTACTTCATCTCACCGATCCTTAAAGAAATGGGACACTTCTGGGTGTCCACTACACCAGCTGTTACTGTTCCAAAACAACAAATTCCCCTCAGGTTCCCTCTGTTTGTCAGGCAGGTCCTGCAGTGTGCGTGAACAAACACAAACCCCCGCCTATTTCCGCAGTGCACGATAGCGAGGCAACAACAGAGTGGCCTGCGAATAAAAATTTTCAAGCAACGAGAAAAGATTGATCGCTAGATGGTGTTTGTGGAGAAGTGATGCAGCCCCCCCCCCTCCCTCTTCGCGGACCAGAATGGACCAGAATGGCTGGGCTGCGTCGCGTCGAGTTAATGCAGATATAATTGTTCCGACGCTCCATCGCTACTGTTGTTGGAATCCCTCACGCAGAGGGTCCCATAACAGCAATCGAAGCTTCGCTGCTTCGCCGGCGACTCCGTCACTCCGTCATCCTCACGCACGCACACGTTCACTCTATTTTTAATGCGGTCCAGCCGAGGCATTCAGGAGAGCTGTCTCTCTCGCACCCTTCCGGAGGGCGCCGTGAGGTGTGGTCCTAGCGAGAGAGAGAGAGAGAGAGAGAGAGACGGAGCGACGAAACGACTCCTGGGACTCGCTCGGCAGGCAGAGGCGCTCCCTGGAAATGATCAAGCTGGGCCACTGCAGGACGGTCTCCGATCGAAGTGCGCAGTCAGAGCACCGAAAGACGACACCTATGGAGCGCGGGGGACATGAACATGGGGACATTGTATACATGCAGCTGGCATACACATGAGTGTAGGATGACATCTGGCCCGCGCTGCACACTGCAAATCCCGGGTGTAAACACGCCGCGTGGTTATCACACCACCGGCAGGGCATTCCCTAATGTTTAGCGGATACCACCGCGAGAGTTCCACGCTTCCACGGCAAACATTTTCCAGCGCACGTCATAATTAGACGGCCGAGTGATGACGTCACGGCCGTCGGCGATAAATGAATTATGGTGGCACGGCGCCGCGTCCAGCAGCAGGCTGGCTCCGAACCGCTGCGCTTTCGTCGCTCTGTCTCTCTCGCACCCGCGGGGCGTCCCGTGTGGGTGCGAGAGAGACAGAGCGACGGGACGCTTTCCGGAGCCGGCCTGCAGCCGCTGCAGAAGCTCCGGCGGCAGCTCTATTGGCAGTGCCGCAGCTAGGGCCCAGTCCGGGCATTATGACTCATGACAGTCGCTTTTCGCGTGCGGCGTGCGAGGCGGCGTGCGGGGCTGCGCGAGGGCGGCGCGTCGCTTCGGACTCGCTGCCCGTCCGAGTGGTCCGCGCGTCCGGGGCAAAGCAGCCCAAGCAGGCAAAGACAATGGCGGCGACGCGGCGGCGATGACAAAGACGGATGAGGCGTCCTGCTCCGCCGCGCTGCTCCCGAACGCGGTTCAAACAGCCCGCCAAGGTCTCTTAAGGTAATAATGACGATCCAATGCTGGGCCCGGCCCACGGCCCGGCCCGTGGCGGCCCATGGCCCGGTCGGTGGTCGCTGCCCGGCGTGGCTGGGCTTTTGGCCCAGGGCGTGCTAATGGAAGTATTTCCGCGGAACGATTCCGCACATCGCGGCCGTCGCTCTGTCTCTCCCGCACACTGCAAGGGCGCCCCGCGAGGGAGAGAGACACGCAGGGCGCGCAGAGCGACGACACGCTTTGCGGAATCAGTCCGCCGCTCCGCCGAAATGGAGTACTCGGTGTCCGCGCGTTCCGCGTCCGGGGAGAGGCGCGACTCTAGGCGCGACGCACCGCGGACAAAGAGGGCCTCCTTTCGGGCGCGGCGCAGCGGGCTGCTTCCGAAAACTGCACGCGTTCGTCGTTGTGTCTCTCTCGCTCTCTTGAGGCGCGGGGCGCCGCCTGGGTCTGCGACAGAGGCAGAGCGACGAGCCTGCCGCACCGCACCGCACCGCACCGCACCGCGCGTGAAGCGTGATTCAGTTTTTGTCAGGTTGGCGCGGCACGATGCGGCGCCCGGAAGGACGCCACTGCTCACGGCCCAGGCCACGGCCCAGGGGCGGATCCAGGATTTGAAGGGGGTTGTGGATTGCACCTCGACCACTCGCAGGGGCAGCGCAGTGCTGCTGCCTACCGTCATTCCCACCGTGCTGGCGAATGGCCGCGAAATGGCCTTCCCCGCTCGAGTAGCGAAAACACACTCCGGCGTGGTCGCAAGGCTCCTGTGCGCAGAAAGAAGAATGCCCGTGCCTGGCGGCAACGCCAGCAACGGTCCCGCACGAGTGCCCGCCTTGTCCACGCGTCGTTCAATTGTTGAACCGTCGCTCACGTCGTGCCTGCCGGGCTGCCGGGCTGCCGGGCTGCGCAGCGCAGGGCCACCTCCTTGACACTCCCTGGCTCCTTGGCCGGCCGACGATTCGTCGCACGTGAGGGCGTTCGGCTCGTCCGTTTGTCCACTGTAGTATCCGCGCTTCGCGCCGCCTCGGTAGGTCCACCTCCTCTCCGCCTCGGCATTTCCGCATGCACGCCGCCCCACCAGGAGCACACTCACTCCGAGAGTCGTTTTCGTCGCTCTGCCTCTCTCACTCTCAGGAGGCGTCCCGTACAGGTGCGAGTGAGACAGCGCGAGGGATTCGACTCTCGGAATCGGTCTGCGGGCAGCACTCTGCACACTCGGGGCAATTAAATTGGTGCCGTGACTCGGTGGTCGGGTCGGAGCCGTGCGGATATCGCGGCGCGAGTCATTGCGAATCCTGCTGCAGACTGACTCCGAGAGTCGTTTTCGTCGCTCTGTCCTTCTCGCGCCTGTCGGGGAGACCCCTTGAGAGCGAGAGAGACAGCGCGTCTTCGTCGTCGTGCCGTGGAGGTAGGCAGCCCACCAGACACGCTGGTGCGCGTGGCGTCGGCAGCTGGCTTCTTCTGATTTGGTGCCACTGGTGCGGGAAGTAAAGGGAAATGAGATAGCGTCGCGGGCGCGGGCCGCGTGCCGCGTGGGTGAGTAGCACCGTGCATTTGGCAAGGAAGCATGCAATGCCGGGCCGGCAGCCGGCACCGTGGCCTGGGTGCTTTCAAACTGTTGCGTTTTGCCGGCGACACTGGTGCCAACATTCGATTCAATATGTTTTGGTGACGTTGCCGTTATCAGTCCTACAGATTGGCGGGCTGTTTGCTTTGGGCTTGTGATAATTGAACCGGTAATAAATCTGTTTGCACCGAGATAGAAACCATATTTTATCTGTAATTTGCCACAGGTTGACACGACACTGTCTCTCGAACTGCTACCAACAACATCCGGTCAGCTGTTATGTCAGTCTTTGAAAGTTGTTGTAGTTGCAGAAATTCCTTTGCCCGCGCCCTGCCGCTGCGAGATTGACAGGACAGGCCGAGTTCTGGCGTCGCTTGAACCGCCCCAGTCCCGATCTTTGGTCCATGAACCCGCAGTCAAAGGTAAGACTTAGGCCTCGAAGAAATAATGGGTCATCATGAGTGGGGTTAAGCGTAAAACGACCCAAGTCAGTTAACCGGGCCACGTAGGTTAAACTTTCACAGCCGAAACTTTGATACGTAGACCTGGTTTGCTACCCACCTACGTTTCATTTTTAGTGACTTAAACTTTTTTCCTGGATATATGATAGATTATACTGAGACTTGCCCTGTTATTTAAATTGAGGTTCAAGTGCACCACCTTTGTTTCTATTTTTATATTCATATTACCATATTCATATTATCTCATTTGCCCTTTTAATTTTTTCTAGCTGTCTTGATCTATCTTAATCTTGATTGGTCAAGATTCAGTTTACAATGGACTTGAATAAAGCCCGCAGCGGTCAGCGTCTCCTTCGTTCTCCAACAACACCGCCTGATTCTCCACCGATTCCGACTGTTTCTCCTGAGGGTAAAGCTAAAGTCGATAGACTCATTGACCAGGTAATATTACAATTTATTGACATAACGCCTTGATGTGAAACTTTGATATGAATTTCACACTCTATTTGTTATTAAATGATGAACTGAGTTTAATTTTCCTTTACAGGTAGACAGTATATTGCTCTCAGATGATGTATTAACTTCTAAAGTTAAGGAACCGTACGTTACTTGGTGTCTTCAAGCATGTGTCAGTAGTGACATACTAAAGTGAGTTCCATTTCATTCTCAACCTTTGTCATACTATTTTGTTATTCAGGAAGTATTGTACAAATAAATTTGCTGTTCTAGGTATGCTGTAGAGAGGCTCCATTACTATTGGCTTGGTAATCGATCTGCTGTTGCAAAGGCTTCACTTTTCCTTTGCGCAAATTGGTTCTTTGAAGTTGATGGAGTGAAAATGCGGCAAGAGCTTCTGTTATGTCTTCAAGGCGATTTTGAAAGTAAGTCAGCTCTATTAATTTGTGAAGTTGCTAATCATTACTGAGATGTTATAGATATGTTATAGATTCTTGAAGCTGAAATCATTCATCTGGGTTGTGTGTTTCAGACAGGCTTGAGTTACAGGGTAAATCACCTCAGAGGTTCCTTCATTCAGTGGCATTCCTTGTAGAAATGTTCACTAAAATTAGGATTGAAAACCAACCTATGCAGTTTCTGACAACCCCAGTGTTTCAATCTCTTGAAGACCTTTTAACAGGAGATGATTCAGAGATAGAATTGTTTGCTCACTTGGTAAGCATATGGAAGCAGTCACTATCACAATTTAATTGCCATAGCATCCATTTTTCCCCCCTAATAAACTAACTTTTTAAATAGGTTGTTGGCATTGGCCCTACGTTGCAAGATGCCAATGGTTCAAGGGATAAATCTCTGCGTACCTTTATGCCACTTCAAAACTTGTTTTGCAAGATTCGCTCCACTTTAATGTCCCGCAACCTTTCAAGTCAAAGCCGCTTATGGTTACTTTTTATCATGGATATTTCAAGCAGTGGAGATTTTTGTCAACCCTCATCTACTCTTCAAACATTCTACCTAGACAAGGTACAATTGTTATCTCTGTTGCACTGTGCTATCGTGAAAATAATTTTGTCAGTTAAAGCTATTTATGTGGTAGTGCATTTGTCCCTTGTCATCCATTCACATTACTTAAGTTCCTCTGTCCTCTGTTTGGTTACAGGAAAATTTAGGTCCTGCTGTAAATTGCTTAATTAAATCTATTGATAGTGCCATTTCATCACATGCTGAAGCTGAAACTCTTCTGAGTGTGCCTCAGGCTGAGGAAACTGTGAGTGCACCATTGGTAAGCCAGACAGAGTTGAAAGAACCTGATTTAAGGGAGCAGATGTCAGATTTCAAGATTTCTCCAAAGCCTCTAGTAACTAATGGAGCATTCAAAACTGGATTTACCCAAAAAAATCCTAGCCAAAATGAAGTAATGGATAAGAGAGAAGGTTTTCGCAGTGCGCTCAATACAGAACGCAGCAAAGGAAACAGAGGTAAAAGCTTTTGGCAACACGATGACCGCTTTGAGAGAGATGACTTGCCAGTCAAAGAGAGAAATACAGGCGGCCTCACCAAACCTCGAGCTAGTGATGGTAACTGGAGACGACCCACAACTCCCAAAGACGAACAAGAAAAGAAGTCAAATAATGAAGACAGTTGGAGGCCACCATCTACTAAGGGCAATCGCGGTAGAGATATTGTGAAAACCTACTCAGAGAGACAGCCATCAGATTCTTTGTCAGGGGGGGAGAATTGGGACTAATGTGATGGACATTTAGTCTGGAGGCATGAACCCAACTCTGAACTTAAAGGGGTAAATAATGAGAATATCTCAGAAGGTGTTGAATTTATTTCTTCACATAATCATGTACATCTAATAATCTGAACAATGTGCAAGTGAAAACAATTATTACATCTTTGTAACGTAAATAATAATATATTTATGTATGTATTTATAATTATAATAGGAGTCTGAAGAAAGGAGAGTATTAAGACGGTCCAAATTAGTTTGTTTATCAACAGATATTGTGGTACTGTACTAGGAATTTTAGTATGTGACCAGTATTGTGATGTTTTATTTTTATAGACCTGTAATTTACTAATGGAAGATTTCAAAGCTCATGTGACGGTTTTGTGAGGATATATTAAAGTATTATTTAATTGTTTAATTTTTTCATTTGGTTGAGTCAAACTACATAACACTTTTCTCTTCCTTCCTTTCATACCCAACAACAAAACATCAACAGAGAAATTAGAGAGATTACAGGTGCTGCCAAGAATCTACTGTTCATTTGTGCATTAGTAACACCGAGAATCAACCTATTAGAGGATACTATATATTATAATGATAATAATCCAAATGGAACATTCAGGAGACTGGAGCATTACACTAGGATATCCTTCGCTAACGGACATCTAAGCAATAGACATTATGAAGAAACTACACTGTATGTCAGTAAAGAGAAAGTAAATGGAGCATGCCTCAGCATTGCTTCAGTGTTAACAAAATTATATGATTAACAGTGTTAGAGATTAGAGATACAGTAATTAACTGAATAAAATAACAAACAATTGCAAGGCAACTAATGCTGAAATATATAACAACTTCTAATGCTATGTATAAAGCCAGAAATTAATTAAATATCAACTTTATTAAGCCATGAAGAACCAGGCAACTTAGCTTCAATACAGAAATGTAGCTGCTTTATGTATACAGGAAACCCATCACGAGAAGGTAAGATAGTGTCACATGGATGCCACATTGATGATTCGTCTTGGACATACCGCATAAAAACAGCTACAAAGAGGTAAAAAAAGTGGGCCAGAATAAAAACGGATACAACAAAAACTGCAAGGACTAAAATGAACATAAAAATTAAGACAAGAACAAACCGGAACCTGTATAGTTCTGGCCATGCTGCCCTTGCAGTTTGCCACCATCACATTAATTCATCAACAATTGCTCTCCATGAAGAGCTTACACTCTTCAAAAACTCAGTTTTGGCAGAATCTACTTCTGATGTGTCGTGGTTGGAACGAGAGCTCTTCTTAGTTTTAACCTTTTGTTGGAGTCGTGATAACTTTTCTTGTATTTTTATCTTCTCTGTGTATAGTTTCTTATACTCCTCTCGAGCCTCTTCCAAATTTTTCAACAAAGTAATATTAACGTCCTGGAAACACAATATTATTTTCATTATATGCAAAGGTAGAACACAACCGCTATCTTCAATCAATAAAAGGAATCAAGGGACGAAAATCTTTTACTGAGGTAGATATGTGCTCTCTCACCTTTTCCATTTTCTCCCTCAGTAACATACACTCTCTGTCCAAATCGGTTCTCTCCATACGCAAAGATTCAATTTTTCTCTGAGCTTCCTCCAAGGCCCCAGCAGCATTTTTATGTTGGTTCCATGACTGAGAAACTGCTAAGGCAACTTGATGATTTAGCTTTTCCTTTAAAGCATCTAATTCCTTCTGCATAGCATGTTTGGAGGACCTTTCATCTGTTGAATTAAGTATATTTGATTATCAGGATTTCTCACATTAAATAATAAAATACGTAACTGTAGAGAAAACACTCTGTCCAATAGAAATTTCATGTTGGACTCACAGATGAGAAAACACTTACCTTCAAGTTGTTCTTGGAGTTCATTGAATCGAGCATCACATTCCTGTAAGATTAATAATATTTGAATGTAAGTAAAACTACACAAAAATGCTAACAAGTAAATTTGATTTTTTTTAAATTAAACATACAGATTTTTGCTTTCGCTCTCTTTCCTTCCAGTACTCTTGCTTTTTCATGTATTCCTCTCGGAGGGTGCGATTAGTTCGGTTGATGGCTGCTTTACGGGAACGAAGGACCTCCATTTCCTTCATACAACATTCAAGGGCTTCCAATGTGCTGTTCATATTGTCTTCCATTTCTCGTATTTTGTCAGTATTCCCGGTTGTATTTTGAAGTCCAGAAAGGTGGGTAAAATTGTTCTCAAGGTTGCTTAACTTTGTTTTCTCAAGTTGAGCAACATATTTTTCCCGTTCCGCCGATAATTTAAGTTCTTCCTGCAGTTCAGCCTCTAGGGTCTTCCTGATAACTTCATAGTCTGTTCAACCAATAAAAATAATTCTTAGCACAACATTTTATTAACATTGCAGTAAACACATGTGCCATAAATGAAACACATACCTGATGATGTACCATTATTTCTCATGTACTTTTCACACTGCAAAATACAAAGATAAATTATTTTGAACCAAATGTTTCTAGTGCATCTTTCATTTAGAATTCAAAAGTTTCAAGACTTACGTAACATTGTTGTTGCGCCGGTTCTCTCTCACTTTGAAGCTGTAATTAAGAGTGAAAACAGTAACAATTAAGCAAATGAATAGAAGGAACTAGAAAAAGAATGTAAAAGGCTCATTCAAATCAGATAAAAATGATCACCTTAATTTGTGTTTGAAGATGAACCACTTCCTCAGTCAAGTAGCCATTTGTGCGAGAAGCAGCACCAAGCTATGAAAAGTTATTAAGAAAATTATTTATACATTAAAAAGCCTTTAAAAGCCTAAAAATTGAATCAAAAAAGAGAATGTAAAGAAACACACCTGCTCCTGCAGTGCCTTAATATCTGGCAGCAACATATCTTTCTTAGTTTGTTCCTAAGGAGCAAAACAACAAAAATGAAATAGTATACTCATATATGAGGGTAACTGCGAGAATGAACTAAAGCAATATTTAAAATAAAGTGATGATGGAAAGTTGGTACCTGAAGGAGATGTTTCATGGTCTCCAGTTCATTATTCAGGCGGGAATTTTCAGAACAGAGCATTTTATGGCTGATGGTCAACTCAGCATTACGCCCATCAAGTGACTCTTTCTCTGAGCGTACTGAGGCCAAATCTTCAGCGTACTTCTTTACAGTAATCAGTAGTGAGTTGTACTGTTCCTGAAGCCACTGGAGAAAACAACAAGGGCCGATAAAGTTCACATGTTAAGGCTGAAAACAATGAATTAAGTAAAATACTGTAATCATATCTTACTTTCTTTTCTTCAAGAGCCTCTTCAAAACGTTGTTTGTAATGTGAAGACTCTTCTTTCAATTGGAGCTGAATAATATCCTTATCTTGGCAGGTAGAGTCCTTGGGTGGATCACGGGAAGTGCAAAAGGAATCACTATCATCATACTCTTTGATGCTTTTGTCCCAGTAAGACACGTAGAATCTGAAAACGCAAAGTTTGTGGTTAGTTTTAAATTACCTATGCTTGGAGTCCAGCACTAAGGTACACTTGCTTTTTCTTGGTAGGCGCTTTGATAAAGTCATCGCTAGAGCACGCATCACTCTTCAGGGAGATATTATCACAACCCTGTGGAGAAACATCAGCCTTCCCTTCAGGAAAGATCTGGGCAGGTTCAACCCTTACTTTATCACTGTCACTTTCTGAAAAGCTTGTTCTGCAACTGCAAGATAAGTTTTGTGCTTGGTTGTTTTCCTGGAAAATAAATTATTTGTTGTCAAGTACAAGATTTGAAAAACACATTTTTCTCCAGGAAAATGTGCTAAATGAACTCACCACCTCATTGGCTCCAGCTTGTGGAACACTTTTCTTGCTTTCAATTTCACATCGTTTCACATCAGGAAGTGTGAACTGGAATGGAGTGCTTGCTCCAAGGACAGTGAAATCACGCAAATAACAAAATTGGTAGAGATTGGTTGTGTCCTTTGGTAAGAGATGTTCTAAAATTCACACAAGAACAAAGTTTTGATTAACAACTGATATGCAACAATATGCTTATAATTTAACTAAAAGATAGAAAATTACCTGCGAGTAGCACACGTCCGATTGGATCATTGTTTGGCTCTGGTACAGGAACTGCACAAATGAAGTCACGATGTGTCACCCATCCCACTTTGAAGAGGTAGATGGCATCCTTCCAGCTCTCTTGCCATTTGTCAGGACGAATGTATTCACAGACAATACTCCGATCAGCACGATACTCTTCATCCACAGAGTGGAAAACAATCTGTTGATGAAAATAATGTTAAGATGGAGCAACACACAAATTAATTATATTTCTTCAATGACCTACTCACCACAGCCCGATCCTGCTCAGACACATGCAGACTCTCTGGAAGGCTGCTTTTGTCAAGATATTCGAAATCATCCTCTTCAGTAGAATCATCTGGATCTGGTATCACACACAGTGATGCTTGATCTGAGGAAAGACTGGATGGACCAGAGCTGCCTTCCTCTTCAGCGACATCCATCTTCCTTGGTATATCAGCTGGAAAAGTTCAAACAAATAGATGAATAAGTGCATATGAGAGTCGAATCAAATATAGTATTAATCAAAAGTGTGGTCAAAAGCAACAGCACCCCATTAGAACAAACTTAGGAACATATGATTTTCCTTTGTGTGCTACATATAAAGGCACTTTATTATTAAGACATAATAGAAAACGTAAGGAAAACATCAGTTATGTATATTTTCATGGATATGGACATGTGTAGACCAAACAGGGCTTTGAGGTGTCACTAGGCTGACCTGTCACAAATGCTATCAGCTGTAACAACAATCAGGAAATCGGGGCCAAAGTAACTGGGTGCCTAGGCCAGGCACATTATGTCATGCGTAGCAGAACAAATGGAGGGGAATGAGCGATAAACGTTGTCTTACGCCTTGTTCGACCAAGATATGGCGCACTGGTAGCTATCTCTGATTGAAACGGGCACACGATGTGACGAAATCGGACAAACCCAATCAGAACTGAAAATATTGATCCGTCTACAGACGAAATTCACAAAGAATAAATGTAAACAACGTTGGCTCGGGGCCTGTTCAGTTTGCAGGGAAGGCGCTGGGCACTTCGCCGCTGCGCTTGCGACGTGGTTTCGTGAATGACAACTACACAGGGGAGGAGACCAACTTATAAAATAGCAAATATAATGCAATTTGATTGTCAAACGAAATGTGTCTCATATAAATCGCACAACACGATAATACATCGGGGTTGTTTTGCCGAGGTTACAGCGGGCAGTGCTGGTTTCTGATTGGCCAAGAGTAAAGCTCCAAGCCAATCACAAGTGAGCCACCGCCCTCGCACTCGCAGAACGTGAACGTAGCGACGCACCGCGCGTCTGCGCATGAGCCGCGTGATTTGACTGAAGGAGTTGATGCGCACCGTCCAGAGGACTCTTCGCTTTTTCTTATCTTTTTGTGCCTGTTTTCGCCCTTGCCCTTTTGTGTTCGTAGGGGATCTCTTTCCGTCGCTCTGTCTCTCTCGCAACCAAACGGGACGCGCCATGAGTGCGAGAGAGACAGGGCGACGAAAACGACTCTTGGCTGCTGAGGCGTAAGCTTACCTGAGTCGTATGCAGCGTGCAGCAGCTAGGCCGTGACTAGATGACTGTCGAAGCGCCTCGCCAAGTATTGGGTGTGGTCTGTGGTCCCCGCCGATTCGTTTCGTTATCGTGGAGTGGCAGCCCTGGCAGCCCGGCGGATCCGTGCAGCGACTTCCCATCAACCAGAGCCCAATAAAATGCAAACGCACCCATTCAAGGATAAATTATACTTTATTTGTATTTTACGCTCATTTACAAATGAATGAAAGTTGTACATATGTTTCGACAATAACGACTATGCATAATAAATAAGGTTAACGAAACCATAGAATATGAGAGGTTCATCTGTTAGTGTAGGATGATACTAATCCTTTGTTTGAATAATACGGTCTCTGCTTAGACAGCCCACGATCCAATGTACATTCTGGACTCAATCAGAATGCTTGACACAAAAACTTGACTCATAGATGAAATCTTTGGCAAAAGTTCTAACTCGTAACCTGTTTACTCTCTAATACTTTTTCGTTGTTTTAGTGACCGAAAGAAAAACTGAACCCTTTTCTTTCCCTTTATCACAGAGGTTGCCACATTTGCTTCATAAGTGGCCACCACCCTTCTATCTGTCCTCCACCGTATTTACAATGACATACGAAATGCTACTTTTCGTTTCGGAATGTTCTTCGTATCCTGTGGTCCCGTTTCGAGTGGCCCTGGCCACGAAAAGAGAGAGAAAGTTCTGCGCGCGGTTCGCGGAGTCAGTGGAGTCCTAGCGCCTGGCGGTGCCAGGGTAGGCATCCCAACTGGCTCGGGCGCGCGGTGGGCGGCCTAAGCGCAGGGCCGGCAGGGCCTCCGCACTCAGCGCGTCCAGGACAACGTCTCCCACGACGGCGACGCCGTTCTGCGGGCCTGCCTGCCGGGCCTGCTGGGCCTGCCCGGGCTGTAGGCGCGCACCACCTTGCCGTCGCGGACGTCCATCAGCTCGGCGTCGGGGTCCACCATGATGAGTCCGCCGCGCTGGTGCTGCCGCTCCAGGATCACGTTGACGAGGGTGTCGCGGCTCAGGTCGCCCTGCTGGCGCGGCTTGTCGAAGCCGTCGACCTGGTTGTTGTTGGTGGTGCCGGCGGGCAGCAGCCGCAGCTGGCCGCTCTGCTGCGTTTGCTGCTGCACGTCGAACACGGGGACCTGCTGCTGCTGCATGTCGAACACGGGGACCTGCTGCTGCTGCACGTCGAACACGGGGACTTGTTGCTGCTGCACGTCGAACACGGGCACCTGCGACTGCTGCGTGTCGGGCTCGAACACGGGCATCTGGTACTGCTGCACGTCGTCGTCGTCGTCGCCGTCGTCGCCGGTCGAGGCCATGTCGCCGCGGGCGGGGGCACGGGCGGGGGCGGCACGCCTCTGTGTGGAGCGCACGGAGCGCTTCAGGGGCTGCTTTGGGGCGGGCATCACCACGTTAGCGACCACACACACAGCACCGCATTCGCTACACAATCCCGTCAAAATCGTTTTCACAGAAGACATTTGACAAGTTTGAAACCAAGCGCGATGTAGACAATAGATATTTTCAAAACTGAGACTAATTTACTGAGGGTTCCAACAGGACCAGGAAGTAGACGAGAACTAACTGGGTATCATCATCTCTCATTAGCGTTCTTTGAACGCGCGTAATTATAATATGGTAACGCGAGTTCGAGTCCCTGGCGCCTGGCCTTCGTCCCGCTGGGCCCTGAGCCCCTTGGACTTGGCGTCCTGGCTCCGTCTCCTTGCAGACTGATGCCGAGAGTCCTTCTCATCGTTCTGTCTCACTCACACCCAAACGGAACGCCTCATGAGCGCGACAGAGACAGAGCGACGAAAACGGCTCTTGCAGTGGCTGAATTACGGAAGCCGCGAGTCCTCGCTTCTCCTCTTTTTGCCTCCGAGGGAAGTCCGCTGGCGCCTCTCCTTGCGAATGGACGAATCAGCGAATAAATGAATGGCCACGGCGCCACGGCGCCTCGCAGTGTGCCGCCAGGGGCCGGGCGTAAAGCCGCGCGTAGACCTCGCGAAGCTGCCAGAGGCGTGTTTGTTGAAGACGAGGCGCTAGTCCCGCCACCAGGCTAGCAAAGTGCTCTCGCATCCATGCTGGATGGCGGCATGCTTGTGCTTGACGGGGAGCATTCCAGAGCAGGCCGAAACAGTGCGCCGCGGCGGCGAGGCCGGCGGAGGCCGGCAAGGTGACCCCTGCCTGCACTCTGTACAGTGTGCCGCGCCTCTCTCATGTACCGGTTAACAAGCCACGCACACCAAATGTGCGACCAGACACATATCTGGTCACTTTTCCTCTTTTGGAGAAACGCGCCACCAAAAACGTCTTTCCGGCTAATCCGATCCGAATACGAGGTAAAATCCCTAATTTGGCTTGTTCTGATCGTACTTACGTACTGTACTGCGCACTTGTTTCGTCTCTGCTGCACTGTACAGAGGACTGTGGGTGAGTGGAGGGGGAGGGCAGTGAGGGGGTGGAAGGGAATGTAGTTCAAGGGCCTGGCAGTCGTCATGCGATGGGTCATAACGCATTGGAAGGCGTTTCGCGGCTTCCCGGCGTAGTCCCCCCCCCCCTTTTCCCCCTTTCCCCGCCCCTGCGCCCTGGCCTGCCTCACGGGTGACCTTGGACTTGCGGAGATCCGACGCCGCGACGCCTAACTTGCTTCAAAGAGCGTTTAGAAAGAAGCCGCAAGCGCTCTGTTTTGCTCTGCTTAGGTGTGGGCACGGCTTGCTTGCTGTGTGTCAGTTTGGAGGCGCTCCCGTGTCTGGCCCCAAAGTCGACGCCCAGTCAATGGCACTGCCGGGAAGGCTCTCGCGCGTTAGTATCCAGCAGTTTGTCCACTCCCAAGGGTCGAAATATCGAACGTAGTCCAGGATTAAGCAAATTGATTTGACAGATTTGATCTCATTTGGTTTAGAGTGCGAGTAAGAAGTTGTTAAGTCTGTTATGATTAGCCGCTCGTCATCGGGGAGGTTTGTTTGAATTGAATGGATTAAGGAAGGAAGAAGGTACTAGGAAGCGTAAAATAACAATTCGGAAAAAAATAAAATTGTCGTTCTCAATTAATCAGCAAAATTTAATAAAGCTCTCTTTCAAGTACATGCAGGCCGGCACCTCAATTTTAAAATGCATGTGGTATATACAATATTTTGTAAATTGAAAATCTGGCGTACGAGGCAAGACAATAGTTAGTTTTGTAATTAAAGCAACTTTCCATGCATGACGAGAAAACGGAGCATCGCAAATTACAAAATGTACAAAAAATACACATTTGGATGTTTCTACAGGCGTTCGGTGGTAATGCTACAGAATAAATCTAAAAAAAATATGGCATGCAACTTCTGTTACCATAAGATATACACATGTAACACCTATATGCTCAAAAATGTACAGTGCACAAAAACATCTTTTCAGTCTTACAAATTTGGTGTAAAAAGTTATTGTCCTTTTGATTGATATTTTTAAAAAAATCTTTCATAATCACACTGTCTTCTCTGTTTTTGGTTTACGTACGAACTGATCACGATCACTGTACTTGTGACATTTCTATGAATTGGCTCGAACAAAAGGAACAACGGTAGCACCGAAAAGCTAGAAAAACCACCGGAGCCACTATGCGACTCAGATTTTGATCACGGTTTTCGTTTGATTCGCTGGATCTACTTAGCCGTTGAGGTCGTCGACCTCGCTACCCACCTTCATGGGGATCTCGTTCTCGCTGCGGCTGGGCTTCCTGCTCGTCACCTCGTTGCTGCTCTCGAGGGGCTCCACGTCGCGGTCGCTGTCCTTGTCCTGGGCGCTGCTGGGGGTGGCCGCCTGGCCGGGGGCCTCGGCGTCGGCGGGGGACTCGGAGGGGTGGATGTCCACGACGCGCACGTGCAGGACGGCCGAGTCGCCGTCGTCGCCGCCGATGACGGTCTCGTTGACGGTCACGACGTGGCCGTCGACGACCTGCGGGCGGGCCAGGCGGCGCCAGGTTACCGATGAGGCGGGGGCCAGCGGGGACAGCGGGGACAGCGGCGACCGCCGCGGGGGAGGCGGCAGGGGCGGCAAGCGGCGGCCGGGAGGCGAGAACCTGTGCGGCCGCTGCGCGAACTGCGAAAGCAACAACAACACAACGCGGAAGCAACAAGCGTTAGTCAGGAAGCAGCTCACTAGACCTCAGAGAAAGCAAGCCCGTTGTTAGAGCACTTGGAACATGAAAGGTGGTTAAGGCACTGCAAGGCACCCTCGAGGGTTGAAGCGGCCATAGAGACTCGGGTAGCACCACAGACAAAGTAATAGCACTGAGAGAAGCTCGCCTCGCCACATGAAGGGCTGACAGGACGGTGGAAGAATGAAGCAATGAAGCAGAGAGGCTTATGCGGGCCGCAAGTTGTCTCCGGAGGCACCGAGATTACCTAGTTTACCATGGCAATCCTCGGGGCAAAGAAACGGTTACACCCTCTGATTTGACTTGTCGATTATGACAACAATGTGCTCCAGGTACAACCATTTCTTTGTCATGCCTTACGGGTATCGAAAAATTAAAATATTGATCATGTAAATTGATTTGAAGTGTGGCACGCATACCTTGGTCGTGGAGGTGGTGTTGCCCAGCTTGGAGAAGTCCGGCCCCTCTTCTCTGTCGATGCCTCCGCGGCTCAGCACGTCAGCCATCTGGCGACGCATGGCGGCCATCATCTCTGCAGGGAGCAGGAGGCGTTAGTGTGACGACGGACGCCGCGCGCAACCACGCGCGCCAACGAGTGGGCCACCTTACCAGCCATCTGCGCCATGAAGTTGCTCATCGGGTCCACGAAGTAGGGGTGCAGGTAGCCGCCGGGCTGCTCCTCGTCGGAGTCCTCGGTCGAGTCGCGGGGCCCGGGCTGGCCCAGGGTGCGCACGATGACGGGCCTGACGGGGCCGAAGCCGCCCAGGCCGAGGCCGCCGAAGCCCCCGATGCTGCCGAGGTCGCGGATGATGATGCCGACGGGCACCTCCTGGGGGCTCTCGTCGCTGGCGTCGGCCTCGACGGGCACCAGGCCGCCGCGGCCGCCAGCGCGGGATCCGCCGCCGCGCACCGGCTCCACCACCTCGACGTCGCGGTCCGGCGACTCCTCAGAGGCTCGGCGCCATGGTGCTGGACGTCCTGGAACGGATAAAATTTGTTTATTAGTGTTTGCGCGCCGCAGTCCGCGGACCATGGTTCGGGTTGGTGGAGGCCGCGCGGGGCACGTCCGCCTGCTCGCCGGGTGCTCGTTGGGCAGTCGGCGCACGCGGAGCGCACGCCTCGGCGACGCTTATTAGAAATGACGGGCGTGCACTGAGGGGCGGCCGGGCACACCACCACGGGCATTCCTGGCAGTACAGTGCGCCGGCGGCGCCACGAACCGCGATACCTCTATTCCCCGGCGTATGCATGGCATGTGAAAAATCACGGCGGGTGTCCGGTAACGTGAATCCGACTCGCGGTGGACTTCGCCCCCCAGGCCCCTCCAGGACGGCGTCGGCGTGCCATCGGCAGTGGGCCGTGCGGGGCGGCGGCTCGACTGCGCCACTACACGCCGAGTCTGCCCGAATTGGCCGCGATGGCCCGCCACTGTAATGGCCGTCATTTGCCTGCCGCGGCGTGCCGGGATGATGCCATTCCCATTATTCCGAGAAAACGGCGAGATGGGTGACGCGGCTCGCGCGGCGTGGCGGCCACACGACGAGACGACGCGGTGCCCGTTGTTCTGGACGCCATCCTCGCCGTGCTGGCCGTGCCGGCCGTCCTCGCGGAGCGCATCGCGGCGGCATTCTTTCTCCCGGCGTGACTTTTGGCTCCACTTCCTGCAGTGCAGTGGCAGTGCAGCCAGGCTGCGGCCTTGACCTACCGCCCCGCCGCGTTTGTCTCGGCACGCGCTGCGCTCCCCGGAGCACGCCGCGCGCCATCATCGCCACGCCGCAACGCCGCACCGTCACGCGGCGTTTATGTCTTCCGCGCCTCGCGCCGTCCCGACGGCTTGTCCAGCCGCGCGGCCCTGCGCCTCCGCGGCTCCGCGGCGTCGGATGAGCCCAAACCGAAATTACACACAACAGTCTTATAATTGCGCGGACTTTTCGGGACGATCCGCCGCCGCCGGGCGCCGCGAAGCCGCGGTGACTTGAATGAACGACGGCCAAATTGGAGCGGCACGCCCGAGCACGCCCGCTCAGCGCTCTGTCTCTCTCGCACGCGTGGGGAATGCCGCAGTGGGCGAGAGAGAGACAGAGCGGAATCAGTCTGCAGACCCCCTCCCCACCCCCTTTCTGACTTTCTGGTTCACCGCGCCCGCCCGACCCGCCGGACGACACAGGACATTACACGGCCTGCCTTTTGGCCGCTGCCGGCTGCCCTGTGTGCTGTCAGTCTGTCACTCGGCCGGGCGGACGGACAGAAGGACGGACAGGACGCGATGAAGCCCCTCCCGAAACACAAACAAGAAACAAACGGACGGATAAGTCACCTTGCGGCCGTTCGGCTGAGGATGGCCACGCGGCACGCGACGGGGCCAAATCATTCGCAAACAAGAGACTGAGACTCGGCCGATTGGCGATACTCCCTGCGGACGGGGTGGCTTTCCACGCCGGTCACACGGCCGTGTCTCTTGCGCACGGGGTATCGACGCGGGGTCGTTTCTGGCGGCGGCATTGCCCGTGACATGGGAGCGTCAACGCCCCTCGGAAGGGTTACAGAGCACAGAGGCCGGCGCAGCAGCCGTCGCTAAAGCGCGACCTTGCCGCCAGTGCGCGGCGGGCCGGCGGGCCGGCGGGCCGCGTGGACCAGTGACCGGCGCCGCCCCGCGACTTCAGCAGACTGATTCCGTGTCTCTCTCGCGACGAAAACGACGACTGCAGTCAGTCAGTCTGTCAGTGGGCCGCCGCTGTACGTATCCTGCTTCCTGGTGGCGGCTGCGTCTGTCCTGCGGGTCCTTTTGGTCTTATTCCTTACAGTGGCGCTTTGTCTCTCTCGCGCCCCTGCGGCACGTCCCACGAGTGCGAGAGAGACGGAGAGACGGAACACTGTTCGGAATGATGAGCTTGCGGGCCCCGCGGCTCCGTCTCGTACGGACTCTACGGACAATGGCAATTATCATTTCAAACCGGCGGCCGTGCGAGTAGTCGAGAAGTTGAGTGCGCGTTTCAAACCGCCTCGCGACTGGTCCGCTGGGATTTCGAGGAGAAACATTGGCAATGCCATGGCAACCGAATGGCAGCAACAAAAAACAAAACACTATCGCGGTGATTACGTCGACGGAGCGCTGCGGAGCGGAGTCGCGCCTCGGCCCTGTGAGGATCGACGTCGGTTCGATTTCAATTCGCCGTTTTGAAGTCGCCTCTCTTAGTGAGGCGACGCACCGGCCGCACCTCGCCGCGGGGCGGTGTGTGCCGCACCTGAGCGACAAAGATTACTCATGGTGGGCTGAATTCGTGCAAACAGAGGCACCCACCACACTCCCATTCCACTCCCACGCGCGGCCTGCGCGGCCTGCGCGGCCGGCCCACCTCCGAAAGGCCCCAAAGGCGCGGAAGAAGACACGTGGCCAGCGAAGAAGCTTGCAGGTGGGGAACGCGGGGTCGTCGACGGGGGCTGCGATGTTTGCTGGCCTGGCTCGCTGGCCGCGCGGCCATACCGAGTTTCCCGCCGGAAATCAAAGTGCGCCGCCGACGGCCGAGCACGCCGCGCGTCCCTGGCGGCGTCCTTCCACCCACGCCGCGGACACCGCGCGGGGAACCCCGAGGCGCCGAGGCCAAGGGCTTTCGCCGCCGGCGGTGCCCCTCACACGAAAATCTCGGCGTGCTTGACCGAAGCCGATTCGGCTCGGCGGTTGGCCGCGTTTTGCACGGCGCATGACGCCTGCTTCGCGCTTCGCGCCGCGTTACACGCTGTTAGCTTCATCGCGTTGGCGGCCCGGGTCCTCCGGGACGCGCTGCAGGGCCGACGGCCGACGGTCAGTGGCGGCCAGCGGCCCCGTGGTGTCACTTTCGGCGTCCTTGGCAGCCGACCGTGCAGTGCACGCATTACATTATGTACACACACACACGCGCGCGCCCAGACACGCACAGTGAGAGCGTTGCACCAAGCACCTTTCTCCGAGTGGTGCGTTGTGGTGCGCGCGGGGGCTGCAGCACCCCTTCCCGCCGTGCCGTGCCGTGCCGGGGAAGTTGCCTCAGCCGGCGCCCCGCCCCGCCCCGCCCCCCCCCGCCGCACCGCTCTCCGCGCTGCACGCGGCGCTGCATGGATTTCCCTGCCGCCCTGCATGGACCGGCCACGCCGACGCGCAGACGGACAGGTTCGTCGCCAAGCTGTATCACTGCCCGGCGCGCATTGCCGGTGTTTCCGTAGCACCGTCATTACCGGTATTGTTTTTTTGCGGCAGCGCCGCGGCTTCTGAATATGCATGCCAGTATGCACCGCCTGACTCACTGACTGCCTGGCGGCGTGTCGGCATGCGCTCCTGCACTGCATGCACTTGGCGAGAGAGAAGAAAAACATTGGCCGGGCGCGGAGGAGGAGGAGAAGGGGAAGGAGAAGAAGGAGGAGAGGAGAAAGAAGAAGTGGCGAGGAAGCGGTAGGTGATAACTCGAAATCCGTGCCGAAAAAGTTTTGCAGTGTCGTCGCTCGCGCGTCGCGCGCGGAGCAGCGACGACGCGACGGCTCAAAAGTCTTCCCCCGCGAACAGCCGAGCCACCGAGCCGGGCCCGCCGCGGCACACCGGCCAGAACGCCAAAATCCCAAATCAACAAAAATTTTGTTTGGCGCGCTCCGTTCACTCGCCTGCCTATCCATCCAGTGCCTCGCGGACACGCAAGCGAAAAGTGCGCACCGCTTTGAACGCACCGGACTTGCGCAACCCCGAGGGGCCGACTGCACTTGCGCTGCACTTGCGCTGCATGTGCGCTGCGGAGCGGAAAGCTGGATGACTGCAGCGCACTGCAGCGCACTGCAGCGGTGCTAGGCGGCGCTAGGCGGCGCCACACAAGGATCGCAACACTTTGGGGCCGGCGTGAGTGCGTGTGAGTGTGCGTGAGTGTGTGTCGGCCGCGCTTTGACCGCTTTGACGACGGTCGCGGCCCTGGACTCAGCTGCATTCGGCACTCTTAAGTACCAGCACGTACCGAGTTTGGGGCCCCATTTGACACTCTTTGATGGCAGCACCGAGTTTGCAGCCCCATTTGACACTCTTTAGTACCAGCACCGAGTTTGCAGCCCCATTTGACACTCTTTAGTACCAGCTCCGAGTTTGGAGCCCCATTTGGCCCTGCGGCCTGCACTCGTGTTTAGAGGACACAATTGGCAGTAACGCGCGAGAATGACAGCGGCAGCACTCGCGGCTGCCTGATTTAGAAACGGATTTGGAGAGGGCGCGGAAAATAAATTAAATTAGCACAACGTGCAAAAAAACAATACTGCTTCCGGGGCAAAAATTTTAAAACTTGCAATCCACTAGAAAGAGAAATATCGCAGGTGTCGCGACTAAGTTGCCAAAAAGAGTTTTTACCAATGTCAACAAAACAAAACTTCTTTGGCTTGTTGAGGGAGGCTTATTTACCTGGGTGGGCGACGGCCGCTCCGGCCAGGAGCAGCACACAGGCAAGGGCTGCCAGCTTGTCCATGTTGGCTTGGTTCACTTTACTTTCCTACAGCGCACTCGTCACAGTCGTACAGTGTGGTCACAGTCGTCACTGCTGCCTCGCTCGCGGTCCTACGTCAACTGGCGAGAGCGCGGCGCGGCGCGGGACTTATACAACCGCTGGCGGCGAACGCCGGCCGGGCCGCCGGCCAATCGCGTGCCGGCCCGCCCCGGCTGGCAGCCAATGGGAGGCCGCCGTCGGACCGCCGCCCCTGCAGGGCCTTAGGGTTGCAGCCTGCATGCAGGCCACGACGCCGACCGCGTGGCTTGGGGAGGATTGGAAGACACAACAGGACTCACGCACAGATTTTTGTGGAACCAAAACAAACACTGTTTCTGAGGATTTGTTGATCACATACGCAGTCAGCGTCTCGGTAAAGTCTCACTGCCGGAGCCGATTGCTTTGTTATCGGAGTCCTCGTCCAAGCAGCCATAGCTCGTCAACGTCGAGGCCCTCCTCGTCCTTCTCACGCGTGTCACGTGGTTCAACGTGTTGTCCGAACCTTTTCTAGGAATCCAAGCCTTCCCTTCTCGCCGCCTGCTTATCACCAATCTCCAATGCCCCACCTCGCCCCCCCCTCCCCGCCTCGCCACGCCCGGTCACAGCAGTCTGAATCACTCCCACACACAACAGGTAGGCGACTGAGTAAGCGTCTCGGTTTATACACCACTTTTTATGAGCTGTTTTGAGAGTCACGCTTGTCACTACAAATCCAAAGGTCAGACTTTACGCCTCTGGAGAGGCGAGACAAAAAGTCTCGCCACATTTTGGCGATACTTTCATGTCTCGCCCCAATATGGTCAGATTCAAATGTCTCGCCAATTTATGGCGAGACTTTTTTGTCTCGCCAAAATATGACCCAAAATTATTGAATAGGGTAGGCAATGCATGGATTCATGGCAAAATAGATAAACTACTGCATTATTCACAAAATTCACGAGAAATCATTTCTGATCACCACTGATAGTTGTTTGACCCACTGGGGACTCTCAAGAGTAACGCTGTTTGTTTCGCTCATAAACCAAGAGGTGCGTCTTCACATAACAGGGCCGCTCACATTCAGTTTCATTGAAATCAGATTGTACTCACAATAATCACAGTAGCACTGTGGCTATGAAGAAATTTGCAGGCAGGTTGAGAGTTGATTCATCCAATAAAGATTGTGTACAAACATGTAGCTGTGAGTACTGTACAACTTGGTCCAGAGCACAGATGGTGTAGACTGTTGATGAACTGAACATTTTGACAATTATCTTTTTCCACACGCAGTTTGACAATAGCTCGAACGATAAAAAGACATCTTCGCGAACAGATAACCCAGTTGGCAACAGTCGTCATCGCTCCAAACTAGAAAAAACTTAATTTTATTGATGCAAAGTCGGGAGGAAAACATGATAACCAGCGGCCATTTCCTCAGGTTACTTTTGTTTACGAGATGTGAGGATGTAACTGCGAATACTGGTTTGGTCATGCGTATAATTTCCCAACCCGAATCTGAATCTAAATCGTCACGCCCATAACTGCCCATAACCTCTTCTGTCCAAAAACAAAAACATAGCCTCTAAAATGGCTGCTAGCCTCTGAGCGATTGTTTGACTTGCAACGATATAATTTAGTTTTTCCTAGTTTCGAGCAATGACGACTGTTGCCAACTGGGTTATCTGTTTGCGAAGATGTCTTTTAATCGTTCGAGCTATTGTCAAACTGCGTGTGAAAAAGGAGAACTGTCAAAATGTTAAGTTCATCAACAGTCTGCACCATCTGTTCTCTGGGCTAAGTTGTACAGTACTCAAAGCTACATGTTTGTAGACAATCTTTATTGGATGAATCAACTCTCAACCTGCCTGCAAATTTCTTCATAGCCACAGTGCTACTGTGATTATTGTGAGTACAATCTGATTTCAATGAAACTGAATGTGAGCGGCCCTGTTATGTGAAGACGCACCTCTTGGTTTATGAGCGAAACAAACAGCGTTACTCTTAAGAGTCCCCAGTGGGTCAAACAACTATCAGTGGTGATCAGAAATGATTTCTCGTGAATTTTGTGAATAATGCAGTAGTTTATGTATTTTGCTATGAATCCATGCATTGCCTACCCTATTTAAATAATTTTGGGCCATATTTTGGCGAGACAAAAAAGTCTCGCCATAAATTGGCGAGACATTTGAATCTGACCATATTGTGGCGAGACATGAAAGTATCGCCAAAATGTGGCGAGACTTTTTGTCTCGCCACATTTTGGCGTAATGTCTTTCCATTCAGTTTGCAGTGGTCGGCACCACCGCGGCCTCATCCGCGGTCCGCGGCCCGCGTGGGGAAGGTCGCGGAGCGGAACCAAACACGCCGACAAAAACGGGCCCTTCGCGTGTTTGAACCCGGGGCGCCACCTCGGTAGCCGCGACAGTAGCGCCAGCCTTGACCTAGCGGTGTTGCTGTCGTGTAGTCTCGCACGCGAAATGTGTCAGCCTGACTGCGAGTCAGAATCTACTACCAAACGCCAGCCTCGCTGTCCTGGTGACCTATCGTCAAAACGTTGTGGAAGTTTCAATAAAGTAAATACTGTAAGAACAGTGCCCCGGCCGACAGTCCGCGGTTCACCCCTGTCACCCAGTGCCCTCCCCGCCTCCCAAATTCCCAGCGGACGGCGGTGACGGCTGCATCAATCGCGGAAGCTGCGCGAAGGTTCGTCGCGACCGTCTCCGCGTTGCGCCCCGCCCCGCCCTGCCGTTCGGCGAACGCGGCACCGGGCATGCCCCAGTCGCGGCACCCTTCGCCCGGCGTGCCGCGGCGTGCCGTGTTCGTACCGTCTCGTTGTTATCGAGTGGGAGTGGTGACGTCACCGGCCCAGCATCGCTCGCATCGCCGTTGATAATGACCGCGGATCGCGAATCGCGGACCGCCACGCCGGTCCTGGCACAGCGCGCCGCGGGAAGCGCTTCCCAGTACGGAGCGGCTGGCCGGTTGTTATTTTCTGCAGCCGATTTCCACAGTCCGCTGCCGTTTTCTTGGAATGCTCGCTCGAGGGGCAGATCATTCAGAAGCCAATCACACTACTCTGGCACTCAGTGACGAGCAGTCCAGTGAGCCGTACTCGAAAAAACATGCCTCGGCGTGCGCGGAGCTCATGTCGTTTCGACACTCTTGATACAAGTTTCGGGAAGTCTGAGCGAAATCCTGCACCCGTTGTTCCGATTCCGTCTTAGGACGGACCCTTTCCTGGGGCTGTCGATTAGTCTCGATTAGTCACTCCGCTTATCACTGGCGTTTTCTAGAAGCCAGGTCTGGCCGCGCCGCCGTGCCGCCGCCGTGCCGTCACGACGGGCCGCATCTGTTCTAATGTTTACCGCGGCACAGAAAAGCAGGAGCAGCAGATGAGTGACTCAGAAGCAGGGAAGGGGCCACGTATGTGTGTGTGTGTGAGGGGGGGGGGGTCCCTCCGAAACGCGTTTTGCCAAGACGTGACCCCCGATCGAGTTAGCGCCCGGTCACGCTCGCCTTCCATCACGAAGACGCGCTGCTGCGGCGCCTGGTCGGCCTGGTCGGTCAGGCGCCAAGGTGGCCGTGCCCGCCGTGCCCGCCGTGTGCGCCACGACGGCGTGATTAGACGACCGGATGTACCTGCACTGTGTGGAGGCGGTCGAGGCGCGGCGACGGCGAGCTCGCGTCGAGTCCGGGCCCACTGCGGGACGGACTACTCCATTCCATACCCGCGTCCGAACACTTCCAGTAACGAGCGCGATCGCGAACCTCACACCCTCGCGAACGGGCAGAGCACGCTAGCGAGGGGCGCTGACGACGCACCGCGGGCGTCGTCATCGTTGACATCGTCGTCATCGTCGGCGGCGGCGGCGCGTCGGGCCGGGTGCAGCGGGCCGGGCGGCAGGGCAAGGGGTATCGCCGAGGGGCCGCCGCGACGGGGATACGCCGCGCCCCACGTCGCCCACGTTGCCCACGTTGCCCACGTTGCCGGAGCAGCAGCATCACGGCCCGGAGGCCCGGAGAAAAAGGCGGGGCAGGACATCGATTCCCCGGATTCGCGTCGCAAAAAGCGGCCGCCGATACCCCGCGCGCGCCGCACTGCCGCCGCGCGGAAAAAAGGAGCCAGCGGCGGGTAGGAAAGTTTTATTTATAAATAAACGCGGATACCACCCTTGCCCGGCAGCGGCCCCACTCGACAATAAAAATATGAAGCGACATGCAGTGCCGAAAATTTTTGATAACCTTATCAAAAAGTTGTAGATTGTTGGAAATGGTGCCCGGCAAGTAGGAACGGCGAAGAGGTGGGTCCAGCATTTCGGCTCCAGCGGCCGGGCCTACCACCCCCAGAGCCGCACCGCCGCCCCCGGGGCCCCACCCCGCCAGAACCCACCTCGCCCCACCCCGCCCCTCCCCACCCTCGCCGCGGCCCGCGTCGCTGCGTACACATCGCGCCTCGGAGCCCCGCCGCCCGCTCCCTCACGCATAAATTAATTCAGGCTCCGTGGCGATCGATATCTAATGAATACTGAATAAAAAGCACCAGGGCGCCAGAGGCTGCGAGGAGGTGGACTGCCCGGCCGGCTAGGGCAGTCTGGCAGTCCAGGCCCGGGCAGCACCCCGCCACGCCACGCCCCGCCACGCCCGCACGCAGTGCCTCCTCGTCCTGGCCGTGACAATGCACCTCCCCTCCGAGCACTCCGAGCCACCCACCCCCACGGGGAGCTTGGCTGTGCGTTGCCGGCCTAGGGGCGGCCTAGGGTGCGGCCCAGGGGGAGTGCACGTGGCGCCGAGGGCAAGCCGACGCCAAGCCGAGGGTGGCGGCACCAATCAATAACGCCAAAGTTCGGCTCAAATTTCAAAACCCGGAAACGGTTCAATTTTTTGGTTGAAATGCCGAACCCGTTTGGCGACGATTGACAGCCTACGGTGTTCCTGTCCGCACATCCATCGCCAAATCGCAGCGGTGCCGGCAAGGGCCGGGCGTTCCATTGGCCCAGTGCGATGGCCCGGGGCGTGGTGGGGCGTGGCGCGCGGGGCGGGGCGGGGTGGATTTTCACGGTTGGGTGCACACGAACAATGGAACCGGCTTGTTAACGACCAGGAGGCCATGCAGGCTCAGGAGGTGTACTTGTATGAAATTTCGACGAGCGACCGCACTGCCGCCGCCGCCACCGCCACCGCCGCCACCGCCGCCACCCCCTTCTCCTTCGCCGGCGGTGTACAAGAGGGCTCCGGGATAAGGGACCCTCTCGGTGCATTATCTCCCTCTCTCTCCCTCATCGGCGTCCTCCCCGCCTCCTCGTCCTTCCTCCGTCGGGAATGCGGCGCGGGAGCAGAGCGTCGGCCCGGGAGGACTGGGAGGACGACACGAAAAACGGAACGAAAGAGGAGGGGAAGGAGAAAGGGGAGACGGGCGGGAGGGGAGGGGCGTGCTCTGTGAGCCCTGACTTCGAACGCCGAAGGGCTACCGCACCTCCTCGCGCGTCTACGCGCCGGGCAGCCGGCCCTTCGGAAAGGCTCGTGATTGTCAACCCACACAACAAAATGGGTGTTGCAGTGCCGCGCGGCCTGGCCAAGCCTGGCGCTCGGACTCGCTGCATGCGACGCATGCTGTGCGTGTCATCCTGTCCTGTGAAGCGGTGGCCAGCACCAGGTTCCGCAGAAACCGAGGTGACTCGTCTGTGCGCTGCACTGGAAATTTACTGGAGACCGCGCCTCATGTGCCCGTGGAGCTCCCAGGAGGCGTGCAGTGCACACTGCAAGTACCCGAGTCCTCGAGGTCAGAGCTCTACCGTGTGACTTTGTGGCAGTGTTCAGCACACTGTACCGCCCTCCTGAACCTGGCCGCGTTTCCTCTTCTCGTCGTTCCCAGGGTATGCAGTGGGTAACCCAGCCCAAGGACGGGAATAGCCGGATGGCTGCCGGGATGGCTGCCGGGATGGCTGCAGGGCAGGCCCTGCCCAGATGCAGCTTGGTGCCGCGTGGTGCAGCCTGGTGCATCCTGGGCCGGGTCGAGGCCCTGCCGAAGGGCCCCAAGGACAGCGGGAAATTACCCCCTCTCCTCCCTCTCCTCCGCTCCACGCAGCTCCACGGCCCTTCCCCGCCCGGCCCTTCGGCCGAAGGCCCTTCCTTCCCCCCACCGAGCCCTCCGCCCGCCTCCGCCGTGCACGTGCACGTGTTGTAGTGCGCGGCGCGCGGCACTCCCCGCCTTACCTGGCCCCGCCCCGCCCCGCCCCGCCCTCGGTAGCCCTGCGGCCCTGCCTCTGTCTCGCCCTTCGTCTTCCCGTGTCCACCTCCTCGCTACTGCTGCGGCCCTGGCCCCTAGCCCTTCAAAAAGTACTTAAGGGCTCAACCCTTTCTCTGGCTGCCCTTCGGCCTCTCGGTACACTCGTTGCAGTGCATGAGGCACGCGTCATGCCCCCCACTCCGCGACCACTTCGTGCTCGGCGGGGCCGTCCCGCACCGCCGCCCCGGATTAATCCAAGTTTGATATCAAAATCAAATCCATAAATTTGGGTAAACAAAGACCAGGGCAGCAGAGGCGAGCGGGAGGTGGACGGGCCCGCAGCACCGCGACGTCCAGCCGAACGGAGGCCTCCGCGCCTCGCTCCGAGCCCCGCGCAGCCCCGGGGAGAAGGGGAGGGGGCTTTTGGAACATCTGCGCCCGCGTCGCCCCGCGTTGCCGCGCGCTCCCCACCCCGCGGAGCCTCGGCTTTATATATCCGAGCACAGAGGGGAGGAATCCTTGGTGTCTTCTTCTCCTCTCTGCTTCTTTCTGTTCCGCCCCTCCTCCCCCTTTCTTCCAAGTTCAAATATTCTCCCGGGGCATCGACGCCCTGCCGTCGAACCAACTCCCGGTGTATCGTCCACCGAGTACTACGAGTACCGAGCTGCTGCACTGCAAACCCTGTGGTCAGGCGGCCACTTCGAGCACCTTGAGCGCGTCCTGGACGGCGGGCCGTTGCATGCGCGTGGTGCACTGGTGCACTCCATCTGCCTGTGGCCCCGCCTTGCATCAGGACGAGGGCGTGTGTGTGTGTGTGTGCGTTGTGTGTCTGTGTGCGTGAGGCAGGTGCAACAACGAAGGGCCAGGTATAAGTGCAGCCAGTGAGAGTGGGGGCAGGGCATAGCAGTGTAGGTCCCGCCAGGTCAGAAGGAGAGGAGGAGCACGAAGGAATGCATCCAAAGAAATGGACGCGAGGGAAATAAAAGAAAGGGACCCGGGGATGGAGGGGAGGCATCCTTCGTCGGAGCTTCACCCTCGCGCCGCGTTCGCCTCGCCGCGCACCTCAAGCAGGCCGTGTAGTCCCTGAGCGCGGCCCGCCCGGGGCTCGCGGACACCTCCTGGCCGCCTCTGGCCGCCGCCTCCAAATGTTCACACCTCTGCGGCTCCCCGTGGCGCGGCCACGCCCACTTTCACTAATTACTGCACTGATGAGGACGCGGCCGACGCCCTCGAGAGGCAATCTGAATCGATCCTCGATCAGGACTCCATCGGAGCCCATAGCGCACAAAAAATGTCATGAATATGCTCCCATTTCGGAGCGGGCCAGCAGAGGCGGTGAGGAGGTGGCCGACGGTGAGGTTGCCGGCGAGGGGCGCGGCTGGACGCGCTTTCCTCGGGCCTACCTGGGCAACCTGGGCAACCTGGGCCCGGCAGGCAGCAGGCGGGCTTCGTGAGGAACCAGGTGAACGAACGGTGGGACGGCGGCGTGCCGGCGCAGGGAGCAGGCCTGTGAGCGGGAGAGGGGGGGGGGGCAAGGGGCCAGGGCAGCCCAGAGGTCCACGCCAGCATTCCGGTACGCCGTGCTCTCTCAAAATGAACGCGGGCAAGTTTGGAATCTGCAACGTTGTTCTAGTGGTAGAGGGCAAAGACATAGTCGATCACCAAGAGTCCCTCTCAGTTCGCGGATTGGCCGTCGGTTGGCGCGAGGGGCCCCGCCTCGCCACCTCGACTCACGCACTGACGCCTACATCGAGTCCTAGAGGCCACTAGAAGGACCTAGGCCCGCTGTCCTTCGAGGTTTTGATTCGGGGCATCGTCCTCCGCAGTCCTGCGCGATGCTCCCCTCCTTCCAGCCGGCGGAGGAGGGGAACCAGGACGGGCCGCGGAAGCGGGGAGGAGGGGCGGGGCAGGGCGAGGACGCGGACGGCGGCGACGGCGGTACCTCGAGGTGCGTGGCGGCGTGGCGACCTCCTGGCCGCGCATGCTCCCCCGGTCGAAGTGTCCTTATAGTTATCCTTAGGGTCCTGGCGCCGAAAAAAAATGGAAAGTCTTCCACCTCTCCACGGGTAGCGCAGCACAGCCCAACACGCCTATGTACGCCGATGGAAGATCCGTTCAGAGGCCGCGCTCATGGGGTGGCTGACGACGCTACTGGGACCGCGTCGTAGTTTGTTTCAAATATTGGAAAAGACAATTTGGACAATTGGGATTGAACTGAGAAGAAAGTTGCGTCTGCTTTGCCTGTCCGCGCGCGAAGTCCTCGGAGGGCGTCGAATGGGATGCCTACCGCCAGGGCGGCTGCGGGTTGTCGGCAGCGCCGGCAGCTAGGCCACCCATCCGACACAACGCGGGAGCAACTCAAATAAAGACAGCGCCATATTTGTCGGGACACGCGTGCCCCGGTTCTTTATTTTTTCCAATTTCGAATATCATTCCTTTTCCTTCTGGGGGTGGTCCTGGGGCGTGGCGGTGGACGGCGTGGACGCGGTGGAGTCCGTCGTCTCCTCGTCCTCGTCGGAGGGGGGCGGAGGGACGGGCACGTAGCGCACGGCCAGCCAGATGAAGATGAGCATGACGGCGACCATGAGGCCGGCGAACAGGAAGAACTCGCTGGACTGCAGGGGGAAGAACTTGACGGTCGTGATGAGGATGATGATGACGTTGCCGATGGCGTCGGTGAGCAGCCAGGCGGACGAGAGCAGGGACTTCATGCTGTTCGGGGCCTGCGTGGACGGAAAAGCGGATTTAAAACTTGTACAGCGGCTGGCGCTCCGTCCTCGAACCGAAAGGGTGCCTTACTTGGGTGAAAGAGAACTCCAAGCCCGTCACCGAGACCATGATCTCGGCCACGCTGATGACGATGTACTGCGGCATGAGCCAGAACAGGTTGATCGTGTTGGCGGTGATGACTGTCAGGATGCTGGCCGGCTTCGCGGTGTTCTGCAACGACAGCACGGTTACGGGCTCCATCGGTTATACTTGGCGGCTTTAGCTGTGGTCCACGACTTACCGTCTCGTCGAGGAGGATGTTGTAGACGCCGCCGACGTCAAGGAACTCGGCGGCAACCTCCTTGTCATCCACGCGGATGGAGTACTGGCCGGGGGTCAGGACGGGGGTCTTCTCTGAGGCGCCGACGCCACTGACGCTGTCCGAGTACTCGACCTTGCCGTCTAGAACGAAGTCCACTTTGTGCTGCTGAGAGCCTGTGAAGTGGTACATCACCCTGGGAAAGAGAAGAAACTAAAATCAGTCGTGGTTCTAAAGACCAGCCCGAGCCACCCCTTTCGACTAGAAGAAGAGAAAGTTGCTGCCCACCTCGTTTTCGGGTAAGCATCCTTGTCCAGGTCGTCCTCGAAGGGACCGCTGAACGCCACAGTTTGTTTAGCAGCGTCGGAGTAGTACATGTTGAACGACAGCGACTGCAAGGCGAAGGCACAGTGTGTCCGTGTTAGTTCCTGCCCTACCGCGGGGCTGTCCTGCTTCTGCACGTGGGGCTCACCGCTTCGTCCTTCAGTTCGTGGCTGAAGGTGGCGCTGCCGCAGTCCCCGCTGGCGACCAGGTTCAGGGGGGCGCCGCTCGACGTGAAGTCCGTGTCGGCCCAGAAGCCCATGGAGGGCACTTGGTAGGGGCCGAACTGCTGGCTGCCGCCGATGTCGCCGTGCAGCGTCATGTTGCAGTGCAGGCTGTTGAAGACGCGCACCTGGGAGAAGCCGGGCGTCGTCTCCACGGGCAGGTTGGGCTGCGGGCAGCGGGCCGGTTAGACGTGTGCGAGGACACCATACCCCCTTCAGCAGCGCTGCCGCGGCCAGTCACCTCCAGCTGCAGCTGCAGCACCCCGGAGATGATGAAGGCCACGGCGCCGAGCAGCCCGCCGGTGGCGATCCTCTGCAGCGGCTTCCTCAGGAGGTGCATCCTGCGGACAACGACGCCGAGGGTGAGAGCCGGGGGTGACGGGGACGGGGTGAGGGTGGTGCGACGGGTTTCACGCACTTCTCCAGAGCGGGGTAGATGACGGACTCGAACAGCGGCAGCAGGATCATGATGAGGATCGGATTGACGACCTGCATCTGGTCGGGCTTGACCACCCACGACCCCAGGCGGCCGTTCATGTTGTTGGCCTGCAAGAAATGAAGTTAGAAAAGCAATTGGCACGGACAAGCAGGCGGTCGCACGCACGCACGAGGACGCCGTCGGTACCCCACGCACCGACGCTGCCCGTAGAGTCTCTCGCGCGCGGAGTAGCGCGAGTGACTCGGGACTACCCCGCGCTCACCTGGAAGGTCCAGCGGGAGCCCTGCTGGTCGTACAGCGCCCAGAAGACGGGCAGGGGCACGAACAACAGCAGCACGCGCAGCACGGCGCGGATGTCGTTGCGCAGCGTCTCGCTGTACTTGGCGTCGGCGTAGTCCAGCCAGTTGCCCTTCTTCTCCTTGCTGCCGACCTTGTTCTTGATCGCGTTCTGCGAAGGAAAGCAAGAGCAGGCGGGTCAAGACAACGGTGTGGTGCCAAAATCTAAATTTCAGCAACCACAGAGCCCGCTAAGGGACGCACCCCGATGCACATGGAGACTTCCACCATGATGTTGCCCTTGGGGTTGACCATCTTGTAGCCGGGCTTGCCGACGATGAAGATGACTGTGACAGAGACAAGAGTAAGGTGTGCGTCGCGGGCCTGGCCAAGGGCCTAGCCACCCTCCGGGCGCTCCCTCGCTCGCTCACCGATGGCCACGATCATGAGGATGGCCGGCACGCCGAAAGACAGCGGGTAGCAGGTGTCCATGCCCATGCACTCCGTGGTGCGCAGCTCGGGCGTCAGCCAGGTGGAGATGAGCGAGCCCGCGTTGATGGAGAAGTAGAAGACGCTGAAGAAGGCGGCGAGCTGGCGTGCCTGCTGCGGCAGCGCGAACTGCTCGCCGCCGAAGGAGGACACGCAGGGCTTGATGCCGCCCGTGCCGATGGCGATGAGCAGCAGCCCCAGGTACGTCAGCTCCCTGCGGACAGCAAAGTCAGCCAAGGACATCATGCACCAAGTCAAAATTCTGACTGCTTCGAGCACTCCCATCGACACCATTTCCAAGACATCTTTCTTTTCTTACTTGGAAGGAATGTTGAGCGACGTGGCCGAGGCGACAGACACGACGATGTTGCCGATGGCGTAGACCACCGACAGGTAAGCGATTGTTCTGGGAAAGGAAGGCAGTTAAGTATAAAACCTAACAAAACTCTTAAACGGCGCGCTTGTCCGAGGCTCCTTACTTGTACTTCCCGAGCCAGCTGTCCGCGATGATGGCCCCAATGACTGGGAAGAAGTAGCACAGCATGCTAAAGACATGGTAGATGATGGTGGACAAGTCTTCGTCCAGCTTCAGGGAGTTTTTCAAGAACAGAGACAGGACCGCTGTGGCAAGAATCATCGTGTTTAGCAGTGTGTCTATAGCTGCCAGTTTTGTACTTGTCATTTTTTAAAGTTAACAATTTTAACTTTAACTGAAAGCCACATGAATGTCTCCACGGATTTTTACTTACTTCGCATGCCATAGTAAGTAAAACGCTCGCAGAACTCATTGCCGATGATAAAAAGACGACTTTGGGGTACTTGAGTTTCTGTAAAACGAAAATAATCGTTTGGTCGCGTTTGTGGAAGAGCAGCCTAGCCTTGTCAGCGTGGCGGTGCGCTCTGCTCACCTTGGTGGCCTTCTCGGGGTCGGCGACGGTGCTGCGCCGTTTGTCTAGGCCCGTGGGAAGCACGCCACCTGCAGGCAAGCCGAGGCAAGCATTGGCAGTCATGCGCTGCTCTGACGACATGCAACGGCGAGATAAAATGCAGCGTGTTTGTCGCTGCTCTAGCGAATATTGCAGCCAAACTCTCAACCGGAAACTGCACACCGGGCGGAAATTCTTCGGCGCGTTAGCTCACCATGAAAAACAATGCCCCCACTCCCTCTACCTCGCAGACACACACACACATGGGCGGGCGGGCGAAGGCCGGTTAATGGCTGATTATCTGCATCCCCGTGTGAAGTCTGCCACGCCGCTGACGCACCCTCCACACCTCGAGCTTCGCCACTCTGGCACTCTGGATAGCATACATCTGATTTCCACCAGTGCTCCATCACCTACCTTTCTCAACGACCAGCGTCCCCGGTCCCTGGTCGTCGCCATCGGCCGGCGTCCGCTTCGGACCCTCCCCGTTGTCCTTCCAGTCGTCCGACATGGCGGCCGCCGCTCTGGACACGGCGAACAACAAAGAACACAACAAAATGAGCCGGGAACTTCCTTATGAGCGAGAGAGACACTTGTCGAGATAGTGGCGGCCTCTCCCACACGTGTCGTGGCGACACGCCTTTACGGAAAACCCTTATCGCGTCGTCGCTGATCAAGGAGATTGACAGTTAGACAATGGCGGACGCCAGGGCGACGCCTGGGCGGCCGAAGCACGCCGATGACGGCCACGGCTCCGGCGGGATTACCGGTTAAGACGCCAGACTGCGCCAGGCCGGCTGGGATTACTGCACAAAGTGGCAACGCCGAGACCCATTGCCCGTTGCCGCCTTTCGGAATGTCATTGGGCCTTCAGAGGCACAGACCGGCGCCGAGTTGATTCAAGATATTTTTCAATACGAGTAAGCCCACTCTGCCCCCCCCCTCCAAAAAATATCGACTCTTCCTCTAACGACGATGTGATTCCAACATCTTTCAGAGAAAGTGACTGTGTGGAGGTCATTCTTTTTGCAGCATCATCGTTGAGCTCATTGAATGCCAAGTCGTGTGCAAGTTTGGCGAGCGTGACAACTTAAAACTAGTAATCAGGGCAACCGCACTGATCACGAGATTAGGCAAGTATGCGATCTTAATCGTGCACAAATCAAAGATACTGAGATTAACAGTACCCTCACAAAGTGTCAGAAACTTGATGGAACAGTCTTAGGAAGATTACAATTGTTCGCAAGTACATTACTCAATGTCCCTTGGACTCTGACAAACTTCAGACACTATCACAAGATGCATTGCAACAGGTACTGCCTACCCGCAAGGCGATGGCACGGGTGTCGATGGGACGGTTCAGGGCTTAAAGGAGCGTTGTTTATGGACCACCCTGAGCGTCTGTTAAAACTTCTCTAACGCTCCAAACTTGGAGCGTGTCAACAAGTTCCTACTTTCTGGTTCGACATTTCTCCACCGCTTTAACACTAGAAGCCCACTGCTAAGAGCTCGCACACAACGGCAGAACTTTTTTTAAAGTGATGGCTATTCTACATAACCTTTATCTCTAGCCGTGCGCACTAAACCAGTCCACATTCCAGGTATCTAGTACACATTTCTCGCAACGAAAGCACCTTCCTTTGCATCCTCAGTTTTCTCAAACAGAAGACTCTCATTGAAGTTGGAAGCTCTTCGGCGCTGCGTCCATCGTCACTGCCCGGAATTTGTTATCCACCCGCGCCCGTTGACGCCGTGCTTCACTCACCAGACGAGACGTCCTCCCGTGTTGTCCTGGAGGTGGCCGCGCTGCAGCACACACTAGTGCGGCTCGGTGCTGGTCCTGGCGCGGCGACTTTCAGGACTCACGGCGCTATCTAAATACGAGGCAGGGAGCGGCACTGTCCGGGGCAGTTTGCGGGTGACGCGGTGCTGACGCGGGTCAAAGGATGTGCCGTCTATCTAACGCCGTGCCTGGCCAAGCCAGGCCAAGCCATGCCGCCGCCACCGAGGACCGCGTGCCTCTGATACCGTATCTCGGTCATTATCGTCACTATCAGCCGGCGGACAATTTGCCTACGGACCGCGGCACTGGCCGAGAGCAGGCAGACAGGCCAGTGCACGCAGTCCGCAGTCCGCTGCAGTGCGCCCAATAACAGTGGCAGGCGGTCATGACTCACTCTGGGTACGTCAGTTTCGAGCTCCGCGGTCCCCAATGAACCTGGAAAACACATAACAGCACCAAGATGTACCTGCGTAGTTTCGAGCGCCTTTTACGAGTGGCTTAGTATCGTGTTGCGAATTCAATTTGTCAGATTTCCCGAGAGGACCAAAAAGTTGCAATCAAGTCAGAATCAGTTGAAATTTTTGAGATGTTTTGAAAATATTATAACATGATACCTTGCTCTTTTTGATTTACAAGGCTATGGGTTTCAAGAGTTCTCCATGTTTGTCGCTGACGAAAGAAGCATATTGCTAGCCCCTGCGGGCCATCCTGAATGGAAGGATCAAATCAGAAAATAAATGATTTTTACAATATAATTTTGTTTATTTCAGCCACTGATTGTAAGCACTGCTCCTCAAAGGGACTTGTCAACTTCTCCCCTAGGCGTCGATCTCAACGGCGAGGGTGGTGATCTCGATGTCACTGCCGTTGCTGGGGGGAGGGGGAGGAGGAGGTGGGGGTCCGCTGCCGTTGCTGGGGGGAGGAGGGGGGATGGTGCCGTTGCTGGGGGGAGGAGGGGGGATGGGGTCGCTGCCGTTGCCTGGGGGGGGGGGAGGGGGAGGGTTGGGGTCGCTGCCGTTGCTGGGGGGTGGAGGAGGGGGTCCGCGACCTCCCGGACCGTCACGACCACCAGGGCCTCCAGGACCGTCACGACCACCAGGGCCTCCAGGACCGTCACGACCTCCAGGGCCTCCAGGACCGTCCCGACCGCCAGGGCCTCCAGGACCGGAACGACCGCCAGGGCCTCCGGGACCACGACGACCACCCTGTCCGCCGTCCTGGCGCTGGGCCTCCAAGAGCAGGGCAAAGCCCACCACGCACAGAGCCTGTGGACAGAAACATAATAAATTGTATATCGGGTGCTAAAAGTTACTAGAAGTCCACTAAGAAGAGCCCTATGTTAGAATATCTGATGGTATAATCGTTTCTATGATTATAGGTACTGAAAAGAAGGGCACTTGTCTTACCACAATGAGGATCTTGGCCATTGTTCTAGCTGTTACTGAAGCTGGAATACTGTCTGTGGCGACGGCGTCTCCTTATATACTCAATGCTTCCCAGACGTTTTGTTTGGACAGGTGCTAGAGCTCCAATCTGTGCTGGTCGAACCCTAGACGAGCTATTGTTTACCTGCTTCCTTATGCGTCATGTGAACCTTCTGCTCAATAAAAAGTAATTTATAATAAAGGATAATCGTAGGACCTTACTTTTTCATGCCATGACTCGGAGACGCTCTAATCACAGCTATTTAGGGAGCACGGGTCATGCAAAGTCAGTCAACAAGTTGGAACAATCATACTCTTCGAAGTTCAATCGCCTTTTGACCAATTTTGCGAGGCTACTCCTCCCAAACTAACTGCGGTCAAAGCCTTTCCCAGGCGGGGCATGAAAGAGCGGGGTCTTAAGAAAAGTAGGTCGTTGAGGAAGGCCTTTGACCGCAGCCAGATCAGACTTAGTAGAACTCTAAAGTCAGCAAAAACGGTTGTTTTCTGAGATTAAATCACTTTTTGACCAATTTTGCAAGGCTACTGCTACCAAACTAGCTGCGGTCAAAGCCTTTCCCAGGTGGGGCATGAAAGAGCGGGGTCTTAAGAAAAGTAGGTCGTTGAGGAAGGCCTTTGACCGCAGCCAGATCAGACTTAGTAGCGCTCTAAAGTCAGCAAAAACGGTTGTTTTCTGAGATTAAATCACTTTTTGACCAATTTTGCAAGGCTACTGCTACCAAACTAGCAGCGGTCATAGCCTTCCTCAGAGAGGTCTTGAAAGAGTAGAGGCCTAAGAATACTAGTGCGTTGAGGGAGACCTTTGACTGCAGCTCGAATAGACGCCGTGGATCTCCAAATTTAGCATAAAAGAATGCGTGTCTAGATTCAATCACTTTTTAACCAATCTTGCAAGGCTAGAGCTTCCAAACTGGCTGCGGTCAGCGCCTTCCGCATGTGTGGCTTGAAAGAGTAGAGCCTTAAAATACTATTGCGTTGAGGGAAAATCTTGAGTAGGTCGCCCCTTCTGCGTGAACGTGGCGATTTTTTTGTAAACATTGGGGTTTTGATGAATACTTATGATACAGAATACACAGGGGGTGGGTAAACAGAGAACTGAACACCCCTCGCACCATAGGATGAATGAAACCAGGCTTCACGATTACGTGAACTGTGCACTCGGGCGATGTGCATCCTGCGCAGAAAGGCACGCAAGGCCGTCATAATAAGCATAACACAGGTGTGCTGGCTCGCGGACGCCCGGTGCACATTGTGTACATAGGCATTTTTGGCTCCGTGGCACGCCAGATTGACCCAGACGCAACGCAAATTGACGCAGTTTTCTGTTTGCTTCTTGGCCATAGGCAAATGATAGCTCAACCCTGCAGACGCCATCTGTCCCAATACGGCGGTTGAAACTAAGGAGTATATAAGGAGCTGCCTTCGCCATCGACAGTATTCCTGCTTCAGCAGCAGCTAAAGCAATGGCCAAGATCCTGATTGTGGTAAGGCAGCCGGCATTGACGGCGTGGGGTTGCGGCAGGACGGGTGCACTTTGGAGGAACATCAGTCTGCCAAGACCACCTTGGTGGACTCCGGCCAAGTGTAGACTCTCGCCAGTCTCAAGAACACTAACTAGTGATAATGGTTTATGGTTGATTTCTGTCCTCAGGCTCTGTGCGTGGTGGGCTTTGCCCTGCTCCTGGAGGCCCAGCGCCAGGAGGGCGGCAGGGGTGGTCGGGGAGGCCCCGGCGGCCCAGGTGGTCGTGGTCCTGGTGGTCGCAATGGTCCCGGAGGGCCAGGCGGCCGTGACGGTCCTGGAGGCCCTGGTGGTCGTGACGGTCCTGGAGGCCCTGGAGGTCGTGACGGTCCTGGAGGCCCTGGTGGTCGTGACGGTCCTGGAGGCCCTGGTGGTCGCGACGGCCCTGGAGGTCGTGGACCCCCTCCTCCTCCTCCCAGCAACGGCAGCGACCCTAACCCTCCCCCTCCCCCACCCCCCAGCAACGGCAGTGACCCCATCCCCCCTCCTCCTCCTCCTCCATCCGGCAACGGCAGCGACCCCATCCCCCCTCCTCCCCCCAGCAACGGCACCATCCCCCCTCCTCCCCCAGCAACGGCAGCGGACCCCCACCTCCTCCTCCCCCTCCTCCCAGCAACGGCAGTGACATCGAGATCACCACCCTCGCCGTTGATATCGACGTCAACAGCGAAGTTGAGTTCCTGTGAGGAGCAGTGCTCGCAATCTGGCTAAAATAAATGACGTCAAAAATCACTTGATCTATTTCATTTGAAACCTTTTTTTTTTTCACACGAAGTGCATTGGGAAAGCTTGGCGCGGTGGCTAGCTGTGAGCAGAAAAAAAAACAAGCACTTTACTGCGTCCACCAGGAGATACCCCGCGCTGCAATGCCGCTACTCCCCCTCCCGACGCTATCCCACGCCGCTGCACAAGGCCCTTCGTGAAGTCCGCAGCGTCAATCAAACCACCTCTTTCCTTTCATATTATGCCATCAAACTCGTAGCCCCCTCTCAGTTTTGTTTCCCCGCCATGCCGCCGTTGTTTTGCGCACATTCTCAACCGGTGTGCCTGAGCGACCGCCGTCATTTTTGCAGACACTCTCTTCCCATTCACAACACCGGCGCTGGCAGGCAAACCTGCGTTCGCAAAACTGCTCCGCCGCGTGGCGGGGTGCAGGGAGTGGCGTGGCGCGGCGTGGCGTGGCGTGGCGGCCCTCGGCCCCTGCGTTCGGCCACATCGCGTCTCGCGGCCCGCGGGTACAGGCGGGCATGGCTCCACCGCGCGCCGCTCCGCGCGCCGCTCGCCTGCTGCTGGTCCTCGCAGGTAGGCCTGCAGGTAGGCATGTTCCTATCGCACTGCACTATCGCGCAGGCTGCAGCCGGCTGGCCGCAGTGCCCAGTCTGCTCCACGCGCACAAATTTGACCCCTAGTTGCGTCGCCTGCCTCGGGGTCGCTCGGGGACGCGCGGCGGAGTTTGCCCTTGGCCACGGTTGCTTTTCCGCGCCCGAAGTGACGTGTGGCTGCCCTGTTGGCAGTGTCGTGGGCCGGCCCCTGGGCCCTCGGCCCCTGGGCTGGCGCCTCCGACATGCACGACCCGATGCACTGCGAGGAGCGCGGCGCCAAGGAGGTGGTGCGGCCCGTCGAGCCCTTCCTCTGCACGCGCGCCGGCAACGTCAACGGCGTGCGTCTCAAGGACGAGTGCGAGGCCGCGCTGCGCAACATCGTGGACGGGCCCGGTCAGTGCCTCCAGCCCCACGGCCCTCGGCCCGGCCCCAACCCTCTCCGCGGCGAGGTGTGGCCCCGGTTTCACTTTCGACCCCCTCGCAGGCTCGGTTTTTGTAGCGGCTCGTGAGAGCAGTGTCGTCTGAGAGGCTCCAGGGTCGAAAGCTTCTATGACTTGGCTCCGTGGACCGTTGGCCCCGCACTACAGAGACTTGTCCCCCAGGCCCCGCGCAGGGCCCCGCGCGCATGCAGACGCTGGGCTCCAACGCGTTCTGCCGGCCCGGCCGGGACGTCAACATCGTCAAGGCCGAGTTCACGTGCTACTGCACCGACAAGAAGCAGTGGGACTGCCACAAGGGCGCCACTCCCGAACGGCCCATGCCGAGCAACAAGAACAAGGACAAGTCCCGGGCCATGAAGGGTGCGTACAGTGGCGCAGGGAAAATGTTTCCATTCTGTGGATTTCGGCGCCATGTCCTTCGACTTTCTCCATTCCCGAGCTCAGTCCCTGTTACTTGTCATTTTTTTGCGCAGTGCCTCGTAAGTGTGACTCTGACATCGTGGTGCACAAGATGTACACCGACTTCTGCGACATGTACGGCATGTTCGTGACGTACGACGACTGCGTCTCTCCCCGGAACCACACAAGTAAGTTGGGGCGGCACTGCAGCGCGCTGGGGGGTTGCGTGCCTTGACGGCGTGTCTTGACGGCGTGCTTCGTGTCCGCAGTCACGGCACAGAACTGGATGCAGCGCGACACCCCCGTGGTGTGCCTGCCCGGCTCCTACACCATCTACATGCGGTGCCAGCTGTGCCGCTGCGTCATGGGCGTGTACCAGCAGGACTGCGAGTTCGTGGACTGCCCGTGGACCGCCACCTGAATCACCGCCAACACCGCCCCTATTTATTCTGCGTCAAGTCAAACAAAGACCGTTGCTGATCGCTATGTTTGTGTCTGCTTTCGTGGGTGATGGCGATCAGCGCGATCGCTCGGCCCGGAGTGGTCCGGGGTCTCTGGGGGTCGCGAGTCGAGTCGCGAGTCGTCCACCGCGGCGGCCAACTTGTTGAGCAGGCCGGGCATATCGACGGCGGCATCGACAAGGCGACACCGCCAGCGTGTGGCCGACACCCTCCCCTCCCCGTCCAGCCCGTCTCCGCGTTGACGAGGCGCGGCGACAAGCGCTCCCCGCGAGCACCCCCTGGTCGGCAGTACTGCTGGACGCCCTCACCTCCCCGACGACGCCCTGCCGCGTGTCCACGGCCACTGTGCGCCACTCGCGGCCACTCGGCGGCATTCCCCCGCCGTGCGCGGGGAGGTCTTGTCAGCGCCGCCCCTCCGCGGCCGCGGCCCGTGCAGGCCCGTGGCTCCACGGCGGCACCCCTATCCCCGCGGCCGGGCGTCGCCGGGCGTCACCCCCACCACCACTTTGCGGTCGGCGCTACCCCTTGGCGCACCCCCACCCCTTCCTCGCCCCCACCCCCGCCGCGGCGGCCTCGACGGCCTGGACGGGCCCGCGTCATTATCTCATTTGGCAAGCCACCGCGGATCGCGCCGCGTCGGTTGACATCGCCTGCGCCGCCTGCATCGCCTCGCCGCGGGGAGGGACCGCGTCGTCTGCTGGAGGGGTCGAGGCCGCCGCCACCGCCGCCGCCGTCGTCTGCTCGCCGCGGCTGCCGCCGGAACGCGTCGACAGCCCGTCGCCGCCGTCCTCCAGGTGAGTGGTGCTCTATGGGCCTGCTCGTCCTGCATGTTTCCACGGGCCTCGGGGTGTGTTCAACATCGTGCGCCTGATTGACTTATGCATGTCGGACAGTGTACTACACACAAAGCGCTTGCGCGACATGACGTTCTCGCGCGTGTCGCGGACTAATACCTCTCACTGTTATCTAGTTTCAAGGATGCGCTTGTGCAGCGATGCGTCACGGTGAACGCGAATAGTAGCCAAATCTTGTCAACGAGGGTCGAAGCTTGCGTGCGGTGACGTGCGGTTTCGTTGCGACTGCCGAGAGCCGTGAGCGCCGCCTGCGGTCTGCGAGGTAGGCAACCCAACCGGCGCCAGGTGTCCGTCGGAGAGTCTCCAGCGGCCGCGCTGCTTACTTGGCAGATCGCTGCAATGCTTGCCCACGTTAGTACGCAACGCTAGAACGACCAGCACGAAAAAAGGACGCCGGAAAAAGTCTGGCAGGTGTTGACCCGCGGCGCGTCGCCGCGCTCCTCGTCGCGAGGGTCGCGAGGCCCTTCCGGCTTGACGGCGCGGTGCGCGGTGCATGGTTAGTGCTCGATAATAGCCTCCCCACCGCCTCCCCCCTCCCCCGTACCTCCGCCCGCGCACCGGTGGCTCGCGGTCACCGCCGTGGTCACCCTCACCGCCGCGGTCACCCTCACCGCCGCGGTCACCCTGGTCACCCTCACCGTCGCGGTCGCCCTGGCCAAAGGCCCTGGCCGCCCCCGTGGTCGAGGCACTTGGCCATGATTATTGTTGCACACGACCACACCGCGCCGGGCTGTGCCGTGCCGGGCTGCGGGCTGTGGCGGTGGAGTGAGGAGCGTGCACCGAGGCCCTGTAGACCAGGTGCGATGCGGTGATAGTGCGCGCATAGATGAGTGGGTGCCTCTGTGTGAGTGTGAGTGTAGTCCGTGTGCACAGGTGTGTGTGCGTGTGTGTGTGTGTGTGTGTGTGTGTGTGTGTGTGTGTGTGTGTGTGTGTGTGTGTGTGTAGGTGTGTTTGTGTGTGTGTGCGTATGTGTGTGTGCGGGACGCGGTCGCGCGGAAGGGCGACGGTGACGATGACGCAGACCCGCAGTATGAAAATAAAAGATGAAATCGGGAGAGGGGTGGGTGTTCGTTCGGTTGTGGGGTTGGAAATCAAACTGTCAAACTGCTGACTCCCCCGCCGCCAGGTTACACTCATAATCACGCTGTGTCGCACGGATATCCTTCACACCGCGGCACCGCGGCAGCGGCGAGGATTTTTTGGCAAACGAAGCATGGAAATCGCGACGCGAGCGCGAATTGCAGATTGGAATTAGCGGCGTCATGACACACCCCTCGGGCCCGGCCCGGCCCGGCAGCCCCGCTTGCCCCCGCCCCGCCCGCTTGCCCCGGGCAGCCGCAGGCAACCAGCAAACCAGCGCGGCCAGCCGAGCCAGTGAAGCCAGCGCCCCGAGCCACGCCGTTCAATTTTTAATGAGTGATGTGTGAAGTGATCGATATTCGGGCCAGCGCGGCCCCGCACTGCCCCGCGCCGCGCCACTCGGAACACGGCGAGCAGGGCGAGCTCGGTGGTGTGGCCGATCGGACTATCGCGCGTCGGGGGACCGCAATCGCGGGGCACTCTGGACAGACAAACAGACGGGCCGACAGACAGACAGACAGACAGACCGGATCTGAGCTTGTCGCGCCACTTGTCTTTCGATCCGTGGGCAGCCCGCGCGGTAGCCACCGAGGCAGCCACTCAGACCGCCGCCGCGCCGCCACGCCGCCACTCCGCGACTCCTCGACGCGGTCCTCGGCTCGGCGGGGACCCCCCGCCACGGCGGCGGCGACGCGCTGCAGGGAGTGGGCGAGCAATAAGTTCGCGGCCGATGATTTGGCGGGCAGGTTCAACATCGGCGGTGGCGGTCGTGGGGGCGTGCGTCGCCGAGCCGAGAGGGAAGGGGAGGATGAGAGGCCTCGGGCTCAATGCGTCGCAGTGTAATCGGCCTGCACCGAGGGCTGCAGCGTCGTCGCTCTGTCTCCCTCGCACTCATAGGCAGAGCGGTGAGGCTGCGCTGGACGGTGAGGCATTGATTCCAACGCAGACCACTGGCTCGAGAGTAAGCTCGTAAGCAGCGCTCAATAAAGGCGGATCAGCGCGGCTTTGCCTTGTTGGCGCCTTGTTGTCCTTGCTGCTCTTGTTGTCCTTGTTTCAAGTTATTGTTTGTCGCTAATCGCCCAGGGATTTGGCCGTGCCGAGGCTACGGAATTTTAAAACTCATCGCAGATTTTGTTGCTGGCCGTAGTTGCTGTGGCTGTGGCCCCTCTCGAAGGCCCCTCGAAGACCCCCCTAGCGTTTAAGTCCCGGACGTCGCCGTGAGTCAAACCGGGGGGCCCCACAGTCACCCTCCTACACTCTAACTCTCTCTCTATTTCTCCCTCTGTGTCTCGCTCTTTCCCCGCAGAATTCCGAGCAGCAACAGCCGGCGAGGCGCTGGCAGTCCAAGTTTGGAGCGGGAGAAAATAATTTGCGTCAACGCGGCGAGAGTCATTTTTATACATTTCGGGACAATCGCCCTCGCCCCCATGCAACTCGGTGGCAGACGGCCCGCACGGGCCCGGACTGGCCCGGACTGCACTGTGGCCGAAGGCAACGAAGCCCTAGTTGGCTAACTCGCGGTGTAGCCTCGAACGAGAGCGAATTAAGAAGCAGAGTGGCAACAGTGAAACTACCTGCAGAAAAAAAGTTGACGTAATGTAGCAGGAAATGGATCTTTGGAGGACGCGCCGGCATTTTCGCGAGTCCGCGCTTTGCATTTAGAAACATCCCCGTCCGCGAGGCGTATTAATAATTCTGCGGAACGCAGATGGCGCTTCGCTTCGCCGCGCGGAACTTTCCGGATCCGGCTGCAGATGCTGAAGGGACACACTGCGACCGACCGGGCCGCGTTCCCTTCCCGCAGTCCTTTACGCCTCTTCTACTTTACGCGAAAAGTACAGCTGGGAGCGGAGACAGAGGCAGCGCCGCGGCTCAAACACAAATATATCACGCATTCATTTTTCACTGCGCACGCTTCCTCTCTCTCTTTCTCGCCTCCCAGCAGCAGCGGCGCAGTTATCACTTTTCAAACTCGCGGCCCGCAAATTTGTCTAGCGCCGGCGACACCACGCGCTCTCTCTTTCTTTCCGTCTCTCTCTCTCTCTCTCTCTCTCTCTCTCTCTCTCTCTCTCTCTCTCTCTCTCTCTCTCTCTCTCTCTCTCTCTCTCTCCTCTCTCTCTCTCTCTCTCCTCTCTCTCTCTCTCTCTCATTCCCCTCCCCTTCATCACTTTCTCATTGAAAACAACCCTTCCCGGCCCGGCGACCCCCGCGGCAGCCGCAGCAGCGCGTCCGGGGACCGCGCCGACCGCGCCGACCGCGCCCACCACACCCACCACCACGCCGCGGTGACGGGGCGGTGACGGGGCGGCGACGGGGACGGCACGGCGCGGACACGAAAAAGTCGGCCTCCAAAATGTGAAGTGAGGGAGGAGATATTAACATGCAGAAGTGAGGATATTAATTGTCTCGCTGCCGGGCGTGAGGGGGAGGGGGAGAGAGAGAGAGAGAGAGAGAGAGAGAGAGAGAGAGAGAGAGAGAGAGAGAGAGAGGAGAGGAGAGAGAGAGGGGGGGAGTCCGCCGAGCATTGTGTTGGGCAGGTGGGCGCGTGGCGGGAGAGGGGGAAGGGGGAAGGCCCCTGGAAGGCCCAGCGATCTGGGTCGCGGAGTGACACGCCGTGTGAGTGGGCTTCCCTCCGAGACGCCGCGCCACGCCGCGCCACGCCGCGCCACGCCGCGCCACGCCCCCGGGGACGCGGAGAAGGGTGCAAACCGCTACAAATTGAAGGGGCGGCCGGAGGCGTGACACCGCGGGGCGAGGCGAGGCGAGGCGCCGGGAGGCAACGCGCGGGTTAACGCCGAGGGACACGTCGCGCAGCCCTGCTGCATCGAGCTCTGACAGGCTGTGGCACTGAAACGCTGAAACGCTACCGCCGTCGCGATTCAACTACTCGCAAAATCAACGGCTGGATGAAAAAAAAACTCACTTTTTTACGTTGTACAGGAGTTGGAAAGGTTTTCAAGCCCCCGATGGAAATTGGCTTAAATCACCACCCGTTTTTCTGTGTGCACACAGCGAGGGTGGAAGCGAATCCTTCCCTTTTCCTTCTTTTTTTATTCACTTGGCCCCTCTATGTGACTCGACCACCCCTTCC